GCCAAAAGTAACAGGGCTCCTTAAAAGATACATTTTGCCCATTTGAAACCTGGTTTTTTCCACCAAAATAAAGGGCAACCACCATTTAGAAGGCAATGTTCAGGTGTATAATGTAAGGATCCCTGTGCAAGGCTTTCATGACCATCCTCTTGGTGCTTCGGACCAAGCCGATTCTGCGCCCCCGTGCCGTGCAACTCCGCCTTTTTTCAGTTGAACGCCACCCCCTTGGGGGGTCTTGGGGGATGGGGCCCTTGTTTTCCTTGGTCTGTTGAACTTGCTGCTGGGAATCAAGATGGGTTGGAAAACGTTAGGAGGAAAACACTCCACTTCGCACCAGTTGGGTTGGATGAAGCCCTATAAATACCAGGATAAACAGCTACTACCTGGTGCCTGGCAAGGATTTTGTCCATCCACAGGTCAGTTGAAGCCTCAACTGAATCGAAGAGCCTCAGGTTAAACCTTGGAAGATACCCAGTTGGAAGGCGAGTCCCATGGGAAAATAGGTACCCAACAAAAACTTGCGTTGCTTCCAGTTGTCAACCAAAGCCCAAGGGTACAGCAGCAACTGTTGGGTCTAGGAACAAAATTGCACCTTGAGGCCTTCTAGAGTTTGGATCGGCCCAAAAAAAGGCCCCCCAGTTCTAAGAGTCTTGAAGTCTCCTCCCCCAGTAGTGCCCTTTCTCACCCCTTTTTTGGGGGAGGGTGAGACTACAGAAAAAGAAACGGAACCCTTATTCGAAGCTCTCTACTGGAGGACCTAGTTTAAGTTTAAGTTTGATTGACTGAAGCAGAACCCAAAGACTTTTCATTTTCGGTGCACCCTGTGCCAAGTGAGCCACAAGCAAAACCCAGGTAGATGAAGGTTAGTAAGGGGCAGTCCCAGCCAGAAATAGTTGCGGCCGCCTTCTCAATTCTTTACATGGTGGGTAGACCATTTTAATACCGGGTTTTGATTGTGACTCAAGTGCATCGAGATGGATCCCCCAGCCCCTTTCCCTTTGAGGATTCTGGCTGGCCCCATAGCGAGCTATGAGGTGGCCAATCCCCTGACGACTTCCATTTGCCGGTCTCAAAACGTCAGAAACTGGACTTGATTTGTGGTCTCCTCAAGAATCTGTTTCACATTTTAGAGGATCTATGACCATCTAAACGGCGGTTTGTTTCCCACAGAAGTCAAGCGTTTTGGGATCATTTTGGTCGCGGCAGCCCACAAACAGCTCTGCCAAAAGCTGAGAGCCAAGACCTCGGTGGCCTTTTAAAGCTTCATGCTCTGCAGTGATATGGGGGGTTATATCAATATTCCTAACCTCCAAATGACCATATCATAATTTTTGGTGGTGTTCCCCAATGGTCATCCCGTGTAAAGGACCTTTTGATCAAACCCCCCATCTAAATAACACATAAGCAGAATTGCACATATATATATATATATATATATAGTTTTTTTGGGGGTGTTTTTTGGGGTTCCGTAAGGGAAACCTTACCACCATGCGTCTGCAAATTTCTTTGGGACAGGTTTTTGGACCGCCAATGGAAGCTTGAGACTCGTGGCACCCAAAGTCCTAGCTCGGGATCCGCGTCTCAGGGGTTCCCGGTGATCGAATCATGGGCTCTGGGCGCTTGGCTCATCCGTGGCTTCCACAACTTGGATGGCCAGTTGCGGGAAGATCTCCGGAAGTAGATGGCTCAGTGCCAAAGACTCTTGCAACGAACACGGCGCCATCTTTCAGACTTGGGACAAAAAGTGGGACAACTTGGCGATCTAGACGTCGATTGCGCGCCCAGTGCCAGCGAGAGCAGCACCTTGCGAGCTCAGCACAAAGTTCAGCACCCCTTCCGATTTGGTCGGAGGGAAGGTGCTCGCGAGAGCCCCAAGCAACCCCCTCCGATTTGTTTGGAGGTGGGAAGGTGCTAAGGAGTTTCCCCTTTTTGGTTCACAAGTGGACCTGTTTGCGGGTCCGAACAAACCGGGAACCAAAGGGTCACCCTAAATGAGAAACGAGCATGTCCAGTGCGAGGAAAGTCTCTAGGTGATCAAGCAAGAGCAGAAATGTGTTTGAGTGTCCTTTGGTTTCCTTTCTTTTCCCGTCACCAAGTACAATTGACTCCTACCTCCCTACCCGTGCCAGGGTCTTTGCCTGTGAAAGAAATCATTTGGTTGGGCCCTGATACAGACAAGGACGACAACCACCAGAATGAAGGCGTGAGTAAGTACATGCAGAATAGCCCACAGAATTATTGATTTCCCCTAAGGCAACCAACAGAGGATAAATCACTTTGTTATCTTTGCGAGGCCCTATTGTGCACCAGGATAAATCCAGATAAATCAATGAGTCATCCAGTGCTTGCAGTCACTACCATAGGCAACCACGTCATGCAAAGCCCGGAGGTAAGACACTCAGGTTACCTATAAAACGCCTGGAAGCACTACGTAGATCAGTCAACAGATTCAACGGTGTGTTTGTGTTTGTGTGTGTGTGTTTTTTGAGGGTACAAGTGTGGTGCCCATGTTGCAGGGAAACGAACGGGAACAACATCTTTTGGGGCCCCTATTTTAAGAGACAGCCACCAAGTGCCTCAAAGAAACCATCTCTCTCAGTGCTGGTCCGTTCTCTGCCCCGCGGTCCATCCGCCTCGATGCCCCGCCTGCTGATACGCAGCTGGGCATAACATCGCCATCGCCGAACCGAAGGCTGTTCAGCTTCATCTGCGCCGCAAGATTTCCCCGCGACAGCCCGCCATGTCAGAACTCGTTGTCTCACGAATTTCTCCACAACAAGTTTAAAATATATCAATCTTACACTAGACCACAGACTATTTCAACAACGAAATGACCCAGCATCACCTCGTGGGCGAACTAGCTCGAGTTGGATGGCTTAAAGCATCAGCTGAGGTGAGTTTCCGTGTTGTGATGCTGGTGATGTTTCTGTCTATTTAGGGCAGAATGAGCTTATTATGGTTTAGGTCTTTTACTTGGGATCCCGCATTGCATGTTTTGAAATTATATATTGTTACGATTGCAGATACTTAGGTGTTGGGCAAATCTAAACAGTTGTTATAAACCCAGGTTACAACCCGCTTAAGTTTACTTGGTTGATCCTAGCTAACCACGTACTACGTGGGTTTTCAACCAACCTAGTGGCTTAGTGGGTTCTAGCCATGTTTAATGGGGGAAGTGAGGTTAGTCCCCGGCAAAAAAAACATATAACCCACTTTAGGGGAAATCTGGAACCGCCCGCACACCGCATCGCTCCGAAGGAGGGGATGCCGACTCGACAAAACGCGCAGATCGCGAGCGTTGAATTGGCCCGAAAATAGCCCGAAGGAGCAGGGCTCCTTAAAAGATCTCCATTTTGCAACCGTTTGAAACATGTTGCTTTTTCCACCAAAATAGAGGGACACCACCATTTACAAGGCAATGTTTAGGTGTATAATGTAAGGATCCCGAAGAAGGTTGCTCAGCACATTTGACAGCTGTTGGGGTCCAACATGATGTTCTTGTCGTAATTTGCGCCCGAAAGGAGGCTCCTCAGCATGAGAGTTTGGGGTTCCATGAGGTGCGGCCAAACGTGCCAGACATCTATGGTCAATCTGGGAGAGACATGTGGGGCGGCGTGGGAGTCACTGAACTTCCCACAAAAAACAAGGGGGACGCGCCCAAATATCCCATGGCCTCTTGGGGAAGCAAGTGACTTTGGATCATGCATGCCACGTTCAAAAGACACGCAAACAAATAGTGGTTAGGATGGTCTTAGGGTCAGTTTAGACGATGTAAAGGTTCCGCTTACAGGAGCCATGACCGAAGTTTTGACATTGGCGCACGTGACCATGAGGAAATCCTTTTGCAAAGGGCACTTTCACTCGATTCCATCCAGTCGCTGCGGACACTCAAGAAACCCCCTAAGCTGCGATCTCTTTAAAATTGTTTTTGCACGTGTTTAAAGCTCACTAAATACTTGATCCAGAATCACGCATGTTGTTTGGTTGGGGGCACACGCTGAGGTAAAAGTGAAGAAACTCCCCTTTGTACCGGGGTGAAAAGTTACACCCAATTGGAATGAGGCCGGCTAGTCCCCGGTTGTGCGAAGGGGAAGTTACGTGGGGAGTTCCTTGTTTGCTTTCGGAATCCACCGAATCACGGAAGCGGAACCCATGCCCCACAGCTCCGCCGCATGCAGCGCAGTTGGCCTGTTGAACCCCTTGCCCGAAAGTACCAGGCTGATTTGGGATGGTCGAATCCCTGCGCTTCATCCCCAGATCAAGTGAAAAATGCGGAGAGACCCCGGCAGGGCCTCAACTACGCCTCAAAGCTTCGAGTGCCTTTGTCCGGCTCAAGCTTTTCCACTGAGAAGGCGTTGGAGCAGCTGGGTTCCATGAAAACCCTTGGACAAGAACGAGCTCACCGGGTAAAACAAGCTCACCTAGGAAGGTTGTGTAGGGGATCTCTCAATTCTGAGTGCTGCCAGAGGCGTTTTGTGTTTCTTTTGCTTAATGTTCCTAGGGGATTTCATGGCAAGCTTCGAGAAAAAGCGTGTTGCAAACAATGTGCCAATCCACATGTCAGCCCAACTCTGCACGAACACTTTGGAAACATGGGATTGTTTAAGGGCGCCCAGGAATTGCGGAAGTGCAATCAGGAAAACAGTTGACACCATACCACCACTTGGAGGTCCCCTCATCCTACAACAATCCTAATGTCAACATTTCCTGGCAGACGCCTAAGATGGCAGCACCCTCAAATCCAACCAATTGTGTTTTTTTCGATCCAAAATCTGGGTGCCCCAAGCATCATGAGACCCTCCATTGGAGGGGGGAAAGCGGATTTCGCTGGAAGCTTCGAAGGGGGCCGTCCCTCACCTCCTTCCAGTTCCAAACTGCATCATGGAGAACCTACAGAATCCTTGTGCCGAAACGATGGAAGCACTGGGTCACATCACCCCATTTCCGTCCCAAGCTCCCCGTTGGTGCCGCCCCCTTTGGGGGCGGGGCGCCTGGAAGCCATGCGAGCGCCCAGTACGCAGGTGACGCGTCTGGCCAAGGACTGGCGAGCTCACGGGGTATAGCCATGGTCCTTTTGCTTGGCTCCAATTGGCAGCGGGCCAAAAATGTGTCCCAAAGTGGAACCCTGGTAAAAGGAAACATGGACTAATATTTGCGGCCCTGGTGGTTCAATTTTGACCCATACCCAATTCTTGTTTCAAGTTTCGCAATTGCAAGAATTGCAGATCTTGACACCTCAAATTTGGGCCTTGAGATCCAAACCCTTCCAATGCCATGGAGCTCCAGACCCCGGGTCCAAAGCGTGTGGAAATGAACGGAAGGAACCTCATTTGAACACATGTGAGTGGAACACTTCTCAAGATATATTATAATTACAGGCACTATTCTCCTATGACTTATTGTGGTTGTACGAGACCAAAACATACCTCCTTCAAAATATTTGGCATATACAAGGCCGAAGCCCCTCGCTGAACTTCGGACATGGCCTAAAGGAGAGGTTTTTTCCAAAGCCCAGACCTTAGGGGGAAACTGGGTTCCCGTAAGCCGCTCGCCTCGATGGGAAGGAAGACCACGTGAGTTGAACCGAACACATGGACCCTTTTGCCAACCCACTTGGATGTGTAAGGGGATTGTTCAGGAAACTCGATTTTTAGGACAGGTGGCGAAACGTGAAACGGACCATCGAGCCTACATTTCGTTAGGGACTATAGTAATATATATATACATATGGTACCCCCCCCCCCCCCCAAAACCTAGGTTTTGTGGGGTGGGGGGGGGGGGAGGTCAGCACACTGGTAAATTATGCATAACAAATTGTAAAAAAAAAACATGCAAAAATGCACGTGTTTTCCATTTATGCAGTGAGCACACAACTCCAGAAACATGCATTTGTCCTGCACAAAATGCATGTTTCTGTAGAAACTAGAGCAACAACCCAGGAAACATGAGGATTTTTCTATTTTGGTAGTAAAATAACAGAAACCAAGCAGAGTAAAACAATAAAGCAGTAAACAAGTAAACAAGTAAAATATCTGGACCCATGAAAAGTAAACAAGTAAAAAGTAAAAGTCAAAAAGTAAAAAAGTAAAAAAAGAAGAAGTAAAAAACGTAAAATATCTGGACTCATGAAAAGTAAAAAAGTAAAACCGCCAAAAGTAAAAAAATACTAAGTTCTTTTTACTTTTATTGGGAAAGTGAATCTGAGCATGAGAGAACACTTGTTGACCCCCTTCATGATAATTTTGGTAATAACCTGCCTGCTTTACCCTTTTCTAAGGAGTGGCTACCGGAAGCTATGCGTGCGCATGCTGACCGCGTGAAGCACTTGGAAGAGACTGCCGACAAGGCCATTGCTGACTTCCACCGCCTGCCCTGTATCAAGCGAGAGCCGTCTGAATTTCACGAGGGGCATGCGTGGCTGGGTCGAGAGACATTCAGCGATCCTGTCGATTGCGACAATGACCCTGCTAGCTGCGGCTGGTCTTCCCCCGTGACTGTCAAGGCGTGTTTGACCGCTTGAAGCGCTCCATCACTGATGTCATCGACCTCGAGTCGCCGTCGCCCGCCAAGGTCACTAAGAAGAATGCCAGTGAGGAGAACATTGTGAAGAACCCGCAGTGGTCTGATCAGCAACATGAATCTCAAGACACCTTTCCGCGAGTGGGGGCCAAGCCTGATGATGATGAGGTTGAGTTCTAAGATGTTTCATCTGAAGCATTTCTGCCACTTCGCAATGATGTCTGCCCGTGTCTACGGGTATAGGTCTTCTCATACACACACAGTTTGGTAAGAAAGGTTCGTGACTTGGCCCATTTTGTCAGGATGAACAGGGCATAGTCTATAGTCTTCTGAGAAGTGCAAAGCTCTGGTGGAAAGTTCAGTGCCTGCAGTGCGTGTGCAAGTGAGTCTTGCTTGCAGCAGCTACGCATTGCAGCATCTTGCATTTACCTTTGCTGAGCATGCCTGCACAGCATTCTTGCTCATGACTTGAGACACCGCAGCTTTTGCATAGGTTGACTCTCACTAGTGTTCCCCTGTCCCTTCAGAGATGCCTGTTCACTTCAACCCGTTCCAAGACCCCAAGCGTGGCAAGGCTCGGCAGATCATGAAGAAGCCAGCCGCAGCCAAGGATAAGGAGTGGCAGAGTGTCAAGTATGTTCGAGAAGCAGGTGGTGAAGCGGATCCTATCCGGCAAGATCAATGCATGTGGGCAAGATCCCTTGTGGAGTTGCTCACCGCGACCACTTCGGAGTTGGTTGAGATCCGACGCGAAGATGGATTGCTTCCAAAGTGGGACCACAAGGTCTGCCCTCGATGTCAGAAGGGCACACGTTCAACTTTGCGAACCGACCCGAAGCATGAATCAGAAATGCCCGAGCACAGACGCAGAATGGGGATGCCAGGTCTACATCAACCCTCACCATTTGCATCCTGTTTTTGTGGACGGCCGTGGCTCTGGATCCTCTTCCTTGCAGCAGCAGGCTGCCATGCTTCTCCTGCTCCTCAACAAAGGGCCTACACCCCGCTCGTATGTCCCATGTGGAGGAGAAGGAGAAGGACATTGAGCTTGGTGGTGAAAGCCGCTGGACGGATGTCGAGGCGGATGAGACGACCTTCGCGAAGAAGAATGTGGCCGAGCTTGTCGAGGATACGTCCACGCCCATGCAATGGGAGCAGTGGCGGAGTGGTCCAGAGGGGCAAGCCGCGGACCTTGGTGCTGAAGCGCCTGACGCCTGAGCTGTCTCAGGCGCGCCCCTGGTCCGGGAGTCATCCGGAAGGTGGACTGGACCCCCATTGCGAGCGAGCTCTTGGACCAGAAGGTGATCCTCCACACGGACGCCGCAAAGTCCTACAAAACGAAGATTCGCGGAGCGCTGCATGACCACGTGGTTCATTGCAAGAAGCGGGGGAAGAAGAACGGGAAGTGGAAGTGGACTCCGCCATGCTACGTCAAGATCGCGAAGCATAAGGACCCCAAGACAGGGAAGGTCTTGAAGGTCAAGGCAGGGACGCAGGTGATCGATCGTGGAGGTTCTTAAAGGATCGAATTAATCCTAACCAGCATGCCACCGTGGGACTAAGGTCCTGAGGTCCATGATTCGGTCTGCCCAATCTGAGTATTGGCTGAGGAATCAAGACCTGTGGCTGGCGTCTGGTGATTTGTGCGCATGGGCGATGGCTAAGTTCATGCAAAGCCCATAGCCAAGTGAATTGCGCAAGATGGCAGAAAACAATACCTGCGGTGCCTCCATGCTGTAAGTCATCTATCAGGGCACTTAACCTCTGTTCAGCCTCATCTGGTCAATCAACTAAAATGACACTTCCTCAATCCACTCTGGCACAAATCCATTTGAAGAGTGACGAAACCAACCTGGCCCGCTATCAGAATGAACCTTGTGTGGCAACCCTCGCTGGCACAAATCCACTTGAAGAGTGATGAAACCTAGGTTTTGGGGGGGGGATAGCATATATATATATATATATATATATATGTATGTGTGTGTGCGCGTGGTTTAGCCAAAGGGAACCCAAAGCCCACTTCGGGACTCCAAATGAGACTCACCGACCCAACTCGAAGCATGGGAAGCCCGAACCGTTTACAGACGACCAAACCACATAGATTGGTCTGGTTTCTTTGAATATACCCTCGCAGAAGTTGTCTTCTTTCCTTTCTATATTCCCGTTGCAAAAGAGACTTGGCAAACGGCTTCCTGTATTTGTCCCGTCGCAACGAAAATGGGAAGCGTTTGGCTGTTATTTTCCTTTCTTTGAGGGTAAAGCTGGGAAACATGCCTTGTGGACCAACTGTGGCTGAGTTTCCTCTTGTTGGTGCTCTAGGGGAGCCCTGGGCTACCAGCATCGCAGGTAACAGGTAACCTTCCAAGTTCTTTTTTCCTGAAAGCATTGCGAAGGGTTCTTGAGGAAAACATGGTGCCGATTGAGCAAGTCAAGTTGCGCCGGCAAGTTACGTGAGAGATTGCTGGAGCAAGTTGCACAACCAAGTTACGTCAGAGGTTGCTGGAGCAAGTTACACGAGGAAGATACACGAGAGGTGCTCAAAGCAAGTTGCACAAGCAAGCTACATAGAAAGTTTGACGAGAGGTTTCTGCGTGGCTTGGCTAGAGAAGTAATTAGCTTACTCAAATCGTGCGTGAAAACAAGATTGGACAACTCGGCAAGTACCAGGTATGCTCCAGCGAAGCCGGATGAGGGAAGTTTCTGAAGAGGTAATGAATGTGTCTATAGGAGGCAGCATTTTATTGCGGAGAACTTGCACTCTTTTTTTGGCGAGAGCGTGATCGGGGACAGCCAAAACCCAACAGCAAGCCACAAAGTTGGCAACAATTGGTCTACTCTCTTGTCGCCTGTTCCCAGCCCCGGATCCCATCCGAAACACAGCGAACGGCCTGAAACCTGCACTCTGTACTGCTAGCACTCGCACTTTCACCAGCACTAGCACTTTGCACTGGCACTTGCACATTGCTCGCTTGCGTGCGGCTTGCACTGCTGGCACAGCTGGTTTTTTGCACTGCTGCGCTTGCGCTACGCACTCGCGCTGGCGCTTTGCGCTGCTGCACTGCTCTTCTTTGCACCGTTCTGCGCGCTTTGGCTCTGTGGCTTAGGAGGGGTTGTGCATCGGTTGACAAAGATGCATGTCTAAGATTCTCGCAGAAGAGGGTGCAAAGTTTTTGGTGCCATTTCTTAAACCAATGGTTGCGCAGTGGCCGCGCAGCAGCTTTAGCCATGGTTACAACCTGCTTACTGGTTGGTTGGTGCCCAGGTCTAGGTGGCAGATCCTCGCCTTGGGGAAGTCAAGCTCAAGCAAGCGGGGCGGAGAACTCTATTCTGAGGTCATCAGAACAGTGGGCCAGGTGGTTGTTTTTGCGGCCTGTATCTGTTGTTTCCCTTAGTATTTTGCCATTACAGCTTGCTTGCCACTCGATCGAAGCATGAGCAGTGGCAAAAACAAACTCACCGGCAGTTTTAGTAGGCGGTTCTACCGGTTTTCGTTGGGGACACAGCAAAACCTACACATTGGTTATGGACTTTTAACATGGAACCACCTCAGAAGCGATTGGTGGACATGAGTCCCCACCTAAATGATGTCCACCGCGCGAACCATTAAGAATTCACTCGCACCCCTCTTCACCCTTTGTAACCACTTTGTAACCACGGACTATGTGGGTATGGGTCAAAATGAAACCACCAGGATATGGACCGCAGGTTTTAGTCCTTGGTGCAATTTACCAGGGCAAGCCATTTTGGGGTTACCAACTTTGACCCACAGCCATGTCGGGAAAACCGAACGTCAGCTTCAGCTTGGGGCGCGCCCGTGACGTTAGGAACTGCTGAAGCTGAACCCTGCGGAGCTGCAGCAGCTCCGCCAGGAGACGTTTGGAGACGTTTGGCGCCTCTGAGTGCGGTGGTTTGGTTGGCGTATCTTTCTTGAAGGTGAAGCCTGTTGGTTTGTCTTAGACGGAGCGCCCCAGTAAGGTGACAAAGTTGTCATGAGGATGGGACCTGGCTTTGGTGTCATTCCGAGTGATTTTTCCCACCAGGTCGAAAGAGATCGCCGTTAAGTGGTTGGTTTTCCATTTGGACTTCCGTTTGAACAAGCGCGTGCGGTGCAAAATGCGTGCGCGAGGCGGGGGAATAGAAATTTAGCGCAGGCGCCGGCGCGTTTCAGTTCCTTAGTGTGCTCGAAGTGTGGTTGCGACGCCTGTTCGCGGAGCGATCTCGGGGGGCGTTCGGGCCGGCCCATTAGCACTGACGCGCGCCTGCTTTTTGCAACAGCGACATTAGATTGTGTGGCAGGTTATAGACTGATAGATAAATGGGGAAATAATTAGATGGCTAGATAGAGAGCTGGATAGATGGACTGATAGACAGGCAGATAGGCAGATAGACAGACACAAGATAGACAGACAAGTAGATAGGTGGAGAGACATTGAATAGAAAGAATAGATGGGCGAGTTGCTGGATAGAGTGGTAGACAGAAAGATTAGGTAGATAGATAGTAATAGGTAGATTTATGGATAGAGAGACGAAGATGTAGATAGATAGGTATGTAGATAGATAGACACATAGATAAACACATTGGTAAATCATAGATAGATGGATACACACCACATGGACAGTGAAAGGAGGCGAGAGGATAAAATTTAGGATAAAGAGCAGAGAGAGAGGGGGAGAGACGAACAGAGAAAGAGAGAACGAGAGAGAAACAAACAGATGAAGGGAAAGGGAAACAAAAGATGATGGAGATGAAAAAGAGAAACAGCAAATACAGAGAAGGAGAAAGAGAAAGGAGAGGAAGAGAAGGAGACAGAAAAAGAGAAAGGGAAACAGAAAGATAATGATGAATACAAAGAAGAGGAATATAAAGAAGAGAGCAAGACATATATATATATATACATAAGGAGACAGACAAAGAAAGATAAATGAAACCATATGTGTTTGTGCGGAACTTCCGCCAACAGCTTCGCCAACTCTACTGGCACCATTGTCGGCTTGGCTTGAAGGGACGTGGAAAGGAAAAGACGCAATTTTAGGGTCCTCCTGTTTTTACACATTCCCAACTACTCCTGGATATTTTTTGCAGTTGTCAAATGCATGTGAAATGCGTGGTCTTAATTACCAATTCTTCTTGCGCTTGCCATTTGGCTATGAATTTTACTGGGAAGCACCCTCTAACATGTACCATGGAAACTCCGTCCACGGAAGGGTCCCCAAAGAAAATCCATGCCCACTTGGGTGCAAAAAAAGCTTGCATTGTTTAAGTCATTGTGAGGAGAAATCAAATCGAGCGCCGAACAACATGGCTGTTTTTCAATGGGTGAGGCCGCTGGAGCTGGCTTTCGGGCGGAGACTCCTACGCTGGACGTGTTGCTTCCGCGCATCATGGTACACTTGCAAGTATTGGCACCCCACCAAGAGTGCAGCAAGCTGTCGGTCTTTTGGCGAGTGTTCGCAGATCCCCTCTGAAGTGAGGCCCCCCTATCAATCAAGCACGGGTTTATTAATCATCCGCGCTCCCACGCCACCCATCACAAGATTCCATATGTCTCTCCTGCGAGCAAGTCTGGACCAGAGAATTGGGGAACCGCCGCAGTTCACCGGACCTGGGCCTTCTGAGTTTTCGGGCGGAGCATCTCTTGGGCCTGGGATTCCCTCCAGGAGTGCCGGGAGCGGTTGATCCCCAAACCCGCGGGCTCCACGGAGAAGTTGCCGAAGGACTACAACCCGCGCCTTAGGCGAAGAATTCGCACGAAGAGTTCCTCGGACAAACCGCAGTAGCGATCCAGGTTCTGTTCAGTGGACACCAAAAACAGAAGTCTTTGCGATTTGTGGGGGGTGGTGTTCCTCGAAGCCGCAATTTGCAGTAATTTTGGCTTCAAGCCCCCTCTTGCTTAATTGTGGCCAAAGGACGGCATTTGCATTCGTGGCAGGATTATTCGAGCATTGGTTGTTCAAGCCACCTAGGTTATGACCATAGGGGACTAACCCCAGTTGCCCAAGCATGGTGACGCAACCTACCTTACGGGCAAGTTTGGCTGTAGTCTTTAGTTTTGACAAGTAGGGGGAGCCGAACTTTGTATGTTGTTTTCGAGCATACCGATCCGCGGGGAAGACGAGCTCTCTCTCTCTCTACGGTTTTGGGATGTGGACATGTCGCAAAACTTGCAGACTTTGTTGGTACCCTTTTGTAGGTTGATCCGAATTCTACCCTCTTTGGTGCCCTGAGAACCCAAACCAGAAGGGATGGTTCATTTCGGGGTCATTCCCTTCCCGACTGAGAGCTGGCAAGTCTAAGACTGATGTGTGAATGTTCCATGTCAATCTGGAGAGCGCTCCCTGTTTGGGCAGGTTGGGAGGGGTGAAACGGGTTTTGAAGAGCTGCCGCCGACCCGGCAAGACCGTGCGTGATTTCCGGCCGCATGCTCGTCATGTAGTTGGTCTTGAATGAACCATGTTCTGCTCTGTTCACGTTCTTTTTGGCGAAGGTTCCCCACAACCATATTTGCCCATTTGCCCAAGCGCCTTGAACATCCCCAATACGTCCCCCAAAAGTCTTCACTTCATCGACCGACAGGCCGCGTCAATCCGAACATCCGAGGCGCCCGCCGGTGCTGCGCGCCGACTGCCCGCTGCCTGTGCGGCAGCACCTGGCGAGTGTAGGGCGACGCTTGGGCCACAGCCATCCCGTGCACATCTTCGCCGGCGGGCCGACGACACTGCCCTCCCAGGCGTAAGAGAGGGCGGGCGGGGCGCGTGTCTTTTTTGAAAACCATTTGGGGTTTTATCACAACCATCGAAAGCCAACACAAACCCAATGGTTTTTATCAAGACCCAATGTTCGTTTTAAAATGAAGGACGTCTTTGTGGGAACGCAAGTGGGGGGCAAACGTTGCACCTCATGGGGTTTGGCAGTGTGGGAATGACAATTTGGTCAGATGAATTGGGCCAACATTCCCCAGTAAATTTGGACCTGTCCACGAACCCATTTTTTGCCGGCTCGATAGGCAGGGATTTTTTGGGAATGACCCCAAGCCTGAACCATCCCTTGTTGGGCATCCATTGGTTCATTCAAAACATTCAACCAGTTGATCCCTTTACTTACCAGCAAGTAGACGACTCTTCCTAAAGGGAGCCCTTTGGGTTCTAGTTGTTTCACAGACCCCGTACCCTCCCACCAACTAACATGGAAGTGCACAAAGCCCCTTTTCAAGGGGAAAGTCGTCTTTTTCTGTAGGGGTTTGTGCACTTCCACGTTAGTCGGTGGGAGGGTAGGCCCGGGGAACAACTTCGGCCCCTTCAAGCCGCGTCAGGTGCCCCCGCTGAGCCTGGCCATCATGGCGCCCCACTGGGCGCAGATGGCCCCCAGCGCCGCGGACCTCGCCGCGGCCGCTTCCGCCGCTGCGGCCGCTCCGCCGCAAGCGGCGCCAGCGGCGGAGGCGGCGCCCGAGGCGGCGCCGGAAGACGAAGAGGCGGCGCCGGCCAAGAAGGAGCCAAAGAAGGCCAGGCGCGAGACTTTGATCAGATGTGTTGGGTCTATAATTATATGATGTGCGGATTTTGACGATTGGAGAATGCTGAGGCTATTTGTTGTATCACGAGAGCGTGTAACTATTTGGGGCCTGATACTGCATATTGTGGACATGAGGTGCAAATTAGGGAAGCTCTGAAGCCTGTAAGGACTAAATATTGATCATGAACTAGGAACTTCGATTCAGCGTGTCTCCTTGAGGATGTCCTTGTAAAGTGTATTAGGCTGTGTTTGGGCTATAGGTCGTCCAAAATAGGGGGTGGCTGGGGCCCCCGCATCATTTTAACATCGCAGTAAAATGCCAGGAGCATGTCCCAATATGCTAAGAAGCTGGCCATTGGTACCGTTCTTCGGCCGTATTGTTTTCTCAAAGCCCGGGAAGTAGTAATCGTGCCATAGGAATTTCTGCGGGAAGTTTCCTGTAGGACTTGATACAAATAGCTTTTCACGCTGCTAAATTTCAAAACCTGTGGGTGTTTATTTCTCGACGGGGTTTTAATCTCGCGTGCGTGCGAGTAATTGCCCAAAGCAGTTGGAAAGAGGGCCCACCCTTTGAAGCGTTTTTGTATTTGGCAACCCTTAGCAAAAATATAAATGCTGGGGAAACAAAGCTCCTCTTCAACAAGTTTTCCATTTTGTTAAACTTGCCAAAAGCAAACTCGTTGATAACAAATGAACGTAGCTGGAGTGGAAAGCAGAAACGCTCGTATACATGGCGTGTTAGTTTTGCGTTCGAGTGAAGCGCGTGAAATTCACGCCTACAAAGGTTGAGCAACCCAAAGTGGCTGTGGGTCAAAAACATGTACCAACATGGCACCTTGTCAAATGGAAACGACTAAATGTTTGCACACCTTCCCCTCTAAGCATGACACGTGGATAGAAAGTACCCCACAACCCCATAATTGTTTAGGCCCTCACACGAACCACGTGATTCCTCCCAGGCCAAAGTAGGGCCACCATTCAAGGGCATTTTCAAGTATGGGTTTGACAGGCATGGAGGTTATATACCATTTATATCAGGGGCATAAGCAGCCTCATAGGCTCGAATAGGTTGTATATAAGCCTCCATCAAAACCCACACCGGCACATATCCTTGAGCCATCGGGACCCGTTTTCGTGGATCCATGTCGACAGGACATGGTGGCGTTGCGGCTGCTGGGCTTCGAGGCGTCCAAAAAGATCGCGGTGGCGCCTCGGCCGGAGTCATGAGGCTCAAACTAAGTGTCCGGTATCTGGGCTATCTACTTACTTTCTCCTATATCTGCATTATCTTGCCACGAGGCTTCTTAGTAGGGATTCGTCTTCGGTTTTTTCGGGTTCCTGTTGATTCAGCGAGCCCCAAATGGGCGGTTGGTTATTCCGGGAATTCCCCAAGGTTTGAAGCTCAAGCTGGTCAGATTTTGCCGCAAACTAGGTAGTTTCCTTTTGGCCTCAAGCTACTGCGTTCAACAAAAGTCTCAGGTAGGTCACTTCATGGTCCTAGGTCGCGGAACTGGGGTTAGTTAAACAATCAGAACCTTACCAAGTTGGTTGAACACCCAAGTAGTGGGGTAACCAAAAACAGGGCTGGGAGCGGGCCACACAGCCCGGCCTCAAGTTCAAGTTCGCGAGGGTCCCGGGTGCCTGGGGTCTAAGAAAACATGTTCTATTTTGCGGTTGATCAGTTCAGACCAGACTCTGACAAGCAGATTTTCAGACTCCAGAGTGTCAAGCGGGTGCTGTGTGGTCTGCAAAGTTATTTCATGGGTCGACGAAATATGGGCTAGGATCTGAACTGACTTTTGGTGTACCCTGGTTGGTTGGGCCAAGTCATGGCCAGGGTTGGGCCTCTTATGCAACCAGAAGTAAAGGCTGGTAGGGGCGGTCCCAACCAAACATGGGTGCAGAAGTCCGTGGTTGCCAAACTTTGATGGTGACTCAGGTGATTTTAGGTCTTGGGGTGAACGTTTCCAGGAAGGGGTGTTTGGTTTGGACGGGTCTGTTGGGGTGGGATTTGGAGTTCTTTTGTGGGGGGGGGTAGATTCTTGACATTGCATATGTGTTTTCTATGTATATATATATATATATACAGGCGCATGTGCACATCGATGTACATTGCATATAGATAATATACACATGCATATATGCCTTTTGTATTGGTAGGCCAATTGCCAGCAGGGGTGTTTTTTGTTTTTTGGACTCGGGCAAAGCTCCGCTGAATTGTTTGGGCAGGTGCTAAGGAGTTGGCTTTGCCTTTATAGCGGCGCAACGTGAGCTGCATCGATGGCCCTGCCGGTGTTTCGCTGCTTGCTAGGGCTACGAAAACGACTCCCAAGCCGAAGAAAGTCAACCACCAAACAAGTGGAAGCTCACTTGAAGGTTGAACCAACTTGGTAAGTAGGGTAGAACCAAGGTTATAACTGGGGTAGCTGGGGTTAGTCCTCTTGGCACTGTAGATCGGCCTTTCCAAAACGGGATGTTCCCAGCAAAAGGATGGGGTTGGCATGTGAAGAGGGGGGCTCCAGCTTGAAATGTATCGCCAAATGGGTATGCGTCAAAATAGGGGAACCCCGAAACTCGTGTGGTTTTCCTGACTTTGAGTTTCCCTTTCAGCCTGAAAAGGGTACCGCGAAAAGACAAAGCCAACTAGGTCAGTTCCCGCCGTGTTTCGGTTTCCCAAACTCGCAGCCGTGTTTTGGTTCCGAGCAGCGGCCAGAAGAGATCCACCATGGCAGATCTGCGGCAATATCATGTACTTAGGGTTGCAACAGTTGGGACGCTCGAGTGTTTACAGTCGGACACCGAGAAGAAATCTTAAAATACGTGTTCCGTTCTTAAGGTTCAAAGATTCCAGCTTGAACCCCCCACTCCCCGAGTTCCTCTTTGGTCCCGGGCAAACATCTGAGGTGAAGGAGGTGAGGGCCATGCTGGGGGCGGGCCTCAAGGAGTCCAAGGAGAGACGTTTTTGAGGTCAAGGCCTCGGGCGCTTGATTTGAAACTCGGTCCCTCGGGTTTTTCAGCTAGGTGCCCTTTCTCACCTTTTTGTTTTTTGGTTGGGAGGGGAACCCCCTAAAATGGACTACAGTACGGCAAAAAAAAGGGGGCCCTTATTCTAACCTCTTTTACTGGAGGACCTAGTGCGGAACCATGTTGGTAGAGCCAGTTGCGGCCCTCCAATGTTGAGTGATGAATGTTTAGACCAGGTCTTGAATTTCATGGAGTACCCTGGGCCAGCCCCCTGGTGTTTTAAGGGGCCCTCTTCTGGGTTTTGAAGGGAAACCAGCGAGGTTTTGGGAGTTCCCCGATTGTGAGGCAAACCCCCATAGTTGAATGGCTATTGCTTCAGCAACCTCCTTTATTGTTTTCCTCTTAAGCGCTGGCTTCCCGCTGCAGTCCATCAATAGCTCCTATTTCAGGGTCGCAAAGCACCCTCGAAGCCAGCGACAACATTGCATTCCCTCACTGCAAGGGGCCCAAGCCAAGAAGGGAAGCAAGACTCAAGTGGCAGCCATGGATTTGGGTGGCCGCTTTTTGTTGGGCTCATTTGCTTTTGGCGGCTTTTGTTTCCGGTGTCTCTTTGCGAGTTCCTCTTCAGTGGTCTTGGCATGTTGAGGTTGGGGTTCAGGTAACTTTAGCATGTACTCGGGGAAATCAAAGGTTCAGGTTTCAACAGGTGGACCATGGTCTTCTATACGTTTAGGTTCTGGGGAAGCCTTTGGTTCCCCAACAGACGAATCTGCCAAGTTCTTCTCGAGCTCAGGGGGCTAAAGGGAGCGCACCACTCAAGCATCTTTCTCATGAAGGGTCTTGAATTCAGGAGAATTCAAGGGCCAATTTGTTCGATTTATGCTTTTCGGTACTCCTTTGCAATTTCCAGAAAGGACCACGAGGCCACGACGGGCTTCGTTCCCCAGGCAGATACCTTGGCCTCACCCTCATATCTCCCTTGCAGTTTCCAGCCCTGGATTTTTGATGTTTCCAGTTTACAAGATTTATGGCATATTCCAGGACAAGATCAACTTTCAGCAAGAGATCAACTTTCAGCCACTCAGATCCTTCGCAGGAGAAGGTCGAATCTGCGCCGGTCACCCTGAAGAAAGGCGTTCCGATCGCTGATGCCGAGGCCTGGGTGGTCACAGGCACTGGGTGGCCTGTGGCATTGCCTCGAAGTGACGCCTCGATGCCCCCAACCTGATGCTAAAGCCTAAACTAAGCGCGAACCCTGAACGCAAACCAGAACCCTAAACCTTTAACCTTAAACCAAAAGTTAAACCCTAAAAATGGACCCATCACCGAGACCTACGCTCCAAACAAAGCCAAGCCTGAGACCCCAAACCTAAGCACCCAACGTGAAGCCCGAAGTCTAAGCAAAACCCTAAATTTACCGCGCGTAAACCAAATTCTAAACCGCAAGACAAACCTCACGTGTGGGTGGTACAGCGCCCGCTCTGAACACGCAGCTTTGCACGGGCCAAGTATGGCTGCACGAGCTCTGCTTGGGCCGGTATGACCTTGACGGGGCAGCATTGGGGGCGCCAGCGACCCATGGGGGCTGTGGGTATTCTTACCTCTTAAAAACACAACTTTTCAACTTTTTGGGTAACATGGGCTATATGTCTGTAAAAGATTAACTTCCCCAGGGCTTGGAGTTTTAAGGGGTAAGTATTGGTAGTCTATCAGGGGACCCTAAACGGGTTCTAATCAACGTAGCTTGCACCAAAGGACAACCATAGCATGGGATCGCATAGCCCATCTAGGGTCAGGGCGCACCCAAGTTTGCAAGGGGCCCACCCGATTTCCTGTGTCTCCTTGAAAAAAAACGGCAATTGTGTCCGGGTCTCGTGTGTGTGTGTGTGTGTGCGTTTGTAAAGCATCGCGGGCTAAACGCGTTTCATGGTAGCCAGCTTTGATATGTTGTGTCTTTGATACGCAGACCTGCAGTGGTGCCCTTGTCTTTTTCAAAGGGGAGCTCCCTTTGGAGTCAACTAGCAGAAAGAAGGGTTCTTTTTTCGCCCATGGCCACTGGAGGTTTGTGGGTATAGGGTGAATGGTATGTAGCCCCCTTCCCTTGTCCAACAGGTGTCTGTCCCTGTTGGGAAGGATCACGCATTGCAGTAACAAATGGCAATCTGTCCGATGGAACATATAATCGCGGCCAAATGCCCGTCTGAGGTTGTCGTAAAATAAAGGGATCCCTGCATTGCAAAGGGTTTGGGTTGCTTGCTGCCTCCCTGCAAACATGATCAAACACAACAAGTCAACAAGTCCAACAAACCAAACCAGAGGAATCCCTGAGACACGTGTTGACCTTATAATATAGTATAGGTATATATATATATATATGTATATACACATGACAATATATATATAGATATGTTTATATGTGTATATATATACATGTATAACTGCTCAACTTGTTATGGGCGTCCCCGCCTCGCCTCACGGCAAACGGCACACCGAACCCAGGCGCTCGCTGAGAAGCTGCGGGCGTTGGGCGCGGAGGTGGCCTTGGAGTGACGCAAAAAACTACCATCGGGGTGGTGACCGGCAGACGTGTGTCTAGGGGTGGATTCCCCATTCTCGTCAACCATCGTTCTTTGCAAAAAACCAGCTGTTTGCCCGGGTTTTTGATGGTTTCCTGAAAAGAAGGATCCCTGGAAAGAATGGGGAGGGTACCCCTAGAGTGTGGTCTCACCAAAAAGACGACCCAAATTGGATTCCAAAGTTTAAAGAAGTTCAACTAGGATGGTTGGGCTCCCCACAAAAAAAGGTATGGCTTTCGGGGGGCGTGCTGTGCAGTTGCAGTTCCGAACTCCGCCTCTTTGGCCGAGTTCAAGTGTTCAATTACTTGGGCCCTGAGGAAATATCGGTCATTCTTTTTTTTTGAGTACCGCTTTTGAGGTTGGTTCAAAGGGAGCCCAAAAGGAAACCATATATTTTCAAGGGTTCCCTAATTCAAGACACACCCATATGTGTTATATGTTATTTGTTTAAGAAGGTGGACTAAATACGGAGCATCTGAAAGTAAGACGCTTCGGGTAACCCAGGGTTCAGCCAAGTTACTTCCCTGCAAATAAAGTGAAAGAACCTGCAAACGTGTTTTGTGTCAGAGAGATTTTTATTTTATTTTTTTTTCGGGAGATCCTTTGAAAGGTTCCATGTTCAATTTGTAGGGGATTGATAATCTGATTGTCTTTTGGGATTTGACCCCAAGTTTGTTTTTCTAAAGTGAAGCCCAGGCCAATGAATGGTAATCAGACAATCATCAGGGCCTCGCCCAAGAAGGGTTCCCATCTAAGAACCCCTTCTAAGCAGGTTAATAGAACTCTGTTCTCAATATTTGTTTGACAAATAAGGCTTGACATATTTGCCACCTTTCCTGGGTTGTGCGGGGGCCTCGGGTTGCTTCCCCATGGATCCTTGGAATGCAGTTGCGGCATGCAGAAGCAGTTGGCCGGATGGGGCAGGGGCCGATGAAATCCTTTCGAACATGGAAGTACACAGGTCACACGAGGCTCTAAATTTGAAGCAGACTCAGAAACTCATATTTGATACATTTCTATATATACATATGTGTAAACAACAAACGCAGGGCTGAGGACATTGATTTCTGCTTTGGAGTACCCCAAATGCTTCAAGGATCATTTCTTTCAGATGTCATGAATTTCTCCCATCCTTGAAACATGTACCTTCCAAGTTTCAGCTTTGCGGTGCAGCTACGTGGTCACCTTCCCGTCGTTATTTTTTTGGGCGAAACCAGGACTAGACATGCAAGATATGGCTGTGGGTCAAAACCAATGGTACCATTTTGGGGTAGGTGCACCACCCATTTTAGTCTATTTTAGTTGGGATTGGGATGTTCACTGGGGGTACGGGATTTTGACCCATGGCCATATTCTTCCCCGAACACTGTGAGGAATTTGAGGAAGGCTGGGAAAAAATATGAAGGGTGAAGCGTGCTTCATCAGTGTTTGACCAATTCTGGATAGTGGTTCCAGAGGGAAAAACAACAGCCGACGGCTGGCACATTCCTTAGTAGTGGCCTGGTCCCTCCCTTGTTGCGTGGTTTCCATCAACCAGCTATCACGTCTATTTTAATCAAGGCCGCGAAAATCAGATCCCCTGGGCACGGGGTTTCTTCCTGGGGTCAGAGTCTATTGCCCGCAGTCCTTTCGGTCTCACAGGTGAAGAGTCTTAGCGTTTCCGCCAAGGTCCCAAATCGTTTTTCCCCCCAGAGAGGGAGCTGCTTTGGATCAAATAACGTCCGGGCCTGGGTAAACCCGGCTCGGCCCCCTTTCCAACGGTTGCAACTAATTTGTCCAGTTTCACTTTTGCAGCAAAGCATTTGTAAACAAAGCCGCAGAACAGTCGCACCGCACGCAAGTTTCGAAACCACGCCGGAGAGTCGGCGGAAAAGATACTAGCCTCTTCCCTCTGTTAATGCACCCTGTGCGCCGCAAAGATGTGCCCGGGCGCCGAGTCTCCAAGTTCGATGAATTTGTCCCGTGTGTGTGTGTGTGTGTGTGTGTGTGGTGTGTGTGTGTGTGTGTGTGTGGGTGTGGGTGTGGGTGTGGGTGTGGGTGTGGGTGTGGGTGTGGGTGTGGGTGTGGGTGTGCGTGTGCGTGTGCGTGTGCGTGTGCGTGTGCGCTGTGCGCTGTGCGTGTGCGTGTGAGTGTGAGTGTGCGTGTGCGTGCGTGCGTGCTTGCGTGCGTGCGTGCGTGCGTGCGTGCGGGTGCGGGTGCGGGTGCGGGTGCGGGTGCGGGTGCGGGTGCGGGTGCGTGTGCGTGTGCGTGTGGGTGTGGGTGTGGGTGTGGGTGTGGGTGTGTGTGTGTGTGAGTGTGTGTGAGTGTGTGTGTGTGTGTGTTTGGAGGGTACAAACCATTTGGCTCAACACAGGAGGGGCCATGGTCAAAGCATTTGGCGCATGGACTCTTAAACCAGTATTGTCACCAAAAACAGAGAGGGCAACCTGCAAAATGAATTGGGGGCCACTTCAAAACCGATTCAATGGTCATTTTGTTGGATAGCTTCAATTCCAATTCCTCTATATGGTAGAGCTTTGACATCTCGCAACCTAAGAATAAGCCCTCTTTAGGCGCGGGCCTTCATTTGAGGCACTAGATCTTTCCTCCACAGATTCAGATGGAACCTTCCAGGAGACTCCGATCCAAATGAATGGGCTTGTCAATCGAGGATACCTCCAGTTTGAAGCAATTCCGAGGCTTCCTTGGTAGGTTCCTCTGAAAATCGATGAATTTTGATACGGAAGCACCTAAAAGTGGGTGGACATACATCCATGGCAATTCATGCCCAACAAGGGCTTCCACCCCGCCTTTTGCGGAGGGGACTTCTGGACTGTCAGGAATCGGTCGGGAGTCGGTCCAGGGGGTCTCGTGCCTCAACCGAAGGGTGCCCCTTTTTGCCCGTGAGGAACGGTCAAACAACAGATCCAGGAACGAGCCCTAAATTTCAAAAACCAAACTGACGAAGGAGGCCCTGAATCTCCCGTGTGCTTTTGGGGAAACCGGTTCATGAACAGGGCGGTGTTCCCCAAGCGATGATTCCCCACATGTCACCCAACACCCCCCTATTCATGGGGTTGATTGATATGGGGTCCACAATTCTCCCAGAACTGCTCCCTCGGACGGGCGAAGCCGAGGTGCCAGGGATCTGAAGCTCTCGGTGCTGTCGGAGGGCAAGAAGGTGCCCGTTGGCTACTCAGGCGGGGAAAGCCCGAGCTTGTCGCGCCTCGCGCCCGGCCGCCGCAAATGGGGACTCGACCAAAGGGGATTCTGAGGCAGTTCGGTCGAGATGTATTCTATGACAAGTGCATAGTGTTTCAAAGCGGTCCGCGGACCCCAAGATATTGTCATGTTGGTTTCGGGGCATTGGGAAACAAAGAGAGCGGGTTTGGGGTTTATTGAGTTTCTTAGTTCGCTTCAGGGGTGCAACACTTTCGTGACTCTCTTGTACTTGCACCAAGATAGTCGTTTGATCTACCCGATCCACGGGGCCATTTTTGGGGCCCAAGTCGCTAGTGACTCGAAGGGACCTGGGCGACTTTCCTTGGCTTGCATACGAATCAGGTCTCGTAGCTTTGGTCCGAGCCCAGCTTGGATGCAAGTCCTTTGCGGGGGGATAGGCATGAGGATCTCCAAAAGGCCATTTTGCTACAGCGGATGCCAAGTGACTATTGCAACCAAGCCAGTTGGCAACCCCGATGTTTGCCACGCTTTCTGATTGGTGTACTTGCAGTACTTAGGGAAACAACCAAGCCACCAGCAAACCACTGTGTTGCGGAAGTCTTCACAGCTTCTGTCATGGTTGATCTCTCTGCCCAAAAGAGACCCTAATGTACGTCTTAAAATGGTTTTGATCGTGTCCTTGCTCATCCTTTGTTTGTTCTCCTGCCTGCAACGCATGATCAGAAGACGAGGGATGGCAACTGACCAGGAGTGCTTATCGCCTTTGATGTTTGCCCTTAGGCGGTACGTGCATGATTCATTTGGTTTAACAGGCCGCAAAGCTTCGACATAGCCGAGGGGGGGCCAAAATACAGCCCCGATTTTCAGATGGGCAACGAGGATACTGAAGGAAACGCAGGGATTTCCCTGGTGATTACAGTTATGACACACCTCGATTGCGTGTTTGTCGTGGCTTTGAATTGCTTTTTGCTTGCTTTCCTTTCTCACCAAGGATTTGGACTGGCGCTTTCCTCGAATGGGAAGGCACCCGCTTGCCCCAACAAATCCAAGCCTTCACAAGGTCTTAAGATGAGGCACCTGAAAATATCATTATGGGTAGTCCAGTGTTCTGCGGGGGACATGGGACCTTCTTTGGACTGAACCCTCCAGTGGTGCCTTGTTTCCCCTTGCTTGGAGGGGTTTCCCTTGAAAAATCAAGACCAGCTTGCGCTTTTTCCCATGGCTCCGGTCCCGGTCAGGCAACTCCATACCCTTCAAAACCGAAGCCTTCGCAGCTTGGCCGCGGTTTGCTAACCGTGAGCGGACGTCGGCTTACTGAAAGAGGGGTGCGACTCTTTTTGGGCCTTGAGTTTTCTTTGCGATGCTTCATCCCTATCGCAGGCGAGTAGGGCAAGTGTCAAAACACAGTTATCTCAACGTGGAATCCCCAACATGCCCGGTGCTCTTCGATTGCCAGTTGAAAGTTTCCCGGGGCCTAAAAATGCGCAGGATGTTCATGTGGTTTTCATGTAAACCAAACAGGGGCCTACCTTTTGGGACTCATTTGGCTTTCGGTGAGGGTTTGCCTGTTGTCCTCTTTTGTTTGTTTCCGATCTAAGCATGGCCGACGACCGATCTAAGCATGGCCGACAACCATAGGAGTACTAGTCTGGAATTCAGGGTTGGCGCTCGCTTGTCAAGCCAAGAACAGTTCAAGCCACCGAATGATGTTCATTTGGGGAGGACATGGGGGGCCTGCCTAACTGCTACCCGCTTTACGAACCATCAACTGTAATACTGTCCGTGGCTCGCGTGTCTCCACCGCAAAAATGGTTGCTGAACAGGAATCCCGCCCAAATGATGTCCACCAAAAGGTCCCGGATCCAAATTTGCATTCGGCTTTTCTAGCACTTGTTGTTTTTTTTTGGTTTTAGGGTGAGTCGATCCATAGCTCGTGCATCCAAGAATAAAACGCTTGTTGCTCAAAACAACATGTTCATACTGATGATAATAAAAAATAAACCATGTTAATAATGATGATACTAAACACACACACCATGCTATCTTGCTATCCTCTCTTGCGCCTAGACAAGGAACCGCAGAAGCTAAGCGGGCGCTCGCGTTGCATAGCTTCTGCTTCCAATCCCTTTCTGGCTTTTGTTTGTTTGCTCATTTTCTCTTGTCTTTTGGTTTTCCATCCAGGTTTGTGTTCTCTCTTCCTTGCCTTTTGTCCTTCCAAGTTTTGTTTTGTTTGCATACCCCGTCTCTGGCGCTTCCGTTGCCCTTTCGTTTCCTCTGCCCCTTTCCTTTGATCCTTGTTTGCTTCTTTGACCGACTAGATTGCCTTTGCGCTGTCCACCCTGTTTGGCATCAATTCCTCTTGTTCTCCCTCCCCCCAAGTTTCCCCCTGCACCGCGTGGGGCAAACACTTGGTGCTTGGTGGTGTCTTAGTTGTTGCTCGTTTGTGTCTAGTTTTCTGGGGAAACACACCAATATTTTTCTGGGGTCTCCTCCAAAATTGTCATGTTTAGGGTAGACTGAGCAAATGAAATAGAGTCTGACCGTTGTTTGGTGTAGTTACCCTGGGGTTTTCCTGCTTCGCCCTTCCATTGGCCCGCTGAGGATGGCGTGATTTTCTTCGCCCATCGGCCTCCGACCGGGAGCAACGGGAACTGGGCGGGGTGACCAAGCCGCTGAGATCGAGCGCGGGGGATACGGTCGTTGTCGGAGGAAGGGCGGCTGGTTGACGTGGGGGTTTGTCCACAATACTGCGGGTTTGTCAAAATACGGGAAGCCCGACTTCCCTTTGATTTCCCTTTAAACCAAGCCCAAGAAAGGTTTGTCGTGGGTCCGCGTTTTGTAAAGGGTACCCGTTTCAGGCAACCAAAGAGGAAAGCCGCCATTTTGGGGATCCCCCGCTTTTGACACATCCGCAGGTCAACTTCTGATTAATCTGGGAAGACCAAGTTGCGAGATGTTGACAGCCACAGGAACTGCAAAGGAACTGCTGGTTTCCCGGCATGCAGGATTCTTCCCTTAGAAAGGCTAGATAAATGTGTAACAGTCAACAGTCAACATGCAGTAGTCTTCCATAGTGAACATAACAAGCAACATCCCATGAGCCGGAATCATGATCTAAGCATAAGTGGGTGCAGCCCTGTGACTCACAATGGCCACCCGATTTTCCCAGTGCTTTTAGGGGAACGTTTAGCTTTGTTCCCAGCCATACGGTTCCTTGGACTTTGAAAAGTGAGGGATTTGTGGAAATGACTTGAAATGCTGAACATATACGCCCAGGATGAACCCTACCCAGATCCCAGTTACCAACCAGCCAATTGTGCTTTTAGTGTTTAAAAGGGTACCCTTGGTTACTATGACTGGGTTTGAACCCGAGTTGCTTCGGGAATCAACACGGCCGGCGTGACTTGTACAAAAAAAGAGACGTCTCGAGAAATATACGGCTGTCGCCCAAAGTGGCCATGGCTCAACATATGGTTGTATGCATCTGGTCTTTGAATTTGGGGGGTCTCCGAAGATGTTGATGCACTTCTATTGGACGACGGCATCACCAATGCCAGGTCCTCAAGCAAACATCCATACTGCCGTCGAGACATGAGGTAGAGCGGACATGAAGGCACCACACAGATCAGCCGTGACACCACATTTCCTGTGTCATTCTCGGGGGTTCAAAACGTTTAAAACCAGGCCAAATGGCTTCCTCAATTCAACCACGATTCAAACAGAGGCGGGCTGACACGGCAATTGAAGGCTTTTGCTGCATTCGATCGGTGATTGGGAGGCGTGGAAGGCTTACCCATGGTGCTTCCAAGGCAGTATACTGTACTGAGTCCACTCAAGTGACATTCTCAGCATTTCCTTTGGTTGTTTGGAAGGGACTTTGAGACACCCTCGATTTTTTGTTGCATGGGTGTTGCTCTTACTATTTTGTTTGCAAAAACAAGAGGAGAACCTCCCCCTAACTTCTCGACCGTGGCTCACATGACCATGCCCCTCCGAGGTTTCCAAAGCCGGCACGTGAACTCGCAAAGGGCCTTCGCCAATTCGAACTCGAGGCATTCCGGGAGCGCATGGAGGGCAAGGGTTCTCCTGATTGGCTCTGGGAGGCGCGGCACTTTCGAGTGCATGTCTCCCCTCAGGGACGCGGCGCTTTGTTGTTCAACGGTTACTGTAGAACAATGACTGTATCTGGGGAAAGCTGGGGTTAATATGGTTAGGTCAACAAAATAAATGGGTTAGAACCATGACTGTATCTGGGGAAAGCTGGGGTTAATATGGTTAGGTCAACCAAATAAATGGGTTAGAACCATGACTGTATCTGGGGAAAGCTGGGGTTAATATGGTTAGGTCAACCAAATAAATGGGTTAGAACCATGACTGTATCTGGGGAAAGCTGGGGTTAATATGGTTAGGTCAACCAAATATATGGGTTAGAACCATGACTGTATCTGGGGAAAGCTGGGGTTAATATGGTTAGGTCAACCAAATATATGAGTTAGAACCATGACTGTATCTGGGGAAAGCTGGGATTAATATGGTTAGGTCAACCAAATATATGGGTTAGAGCCATGTCTGTATCTGGGGAAAACTGGGGTTAGGCTCGTAATATCAGCCGTGGTTGCGAAAAAATACCACCTGAGCGGAGCCAGGTTCAGCTCCATGGGCGGTTCTTGCAGAAGCCCAACGGCCCCGTGTGGCTGAGGTGGGCGCTCCTGGGTTCGCGGGCTCCGTTTTTCCTTTTTCCCCAATAGCTGAAGGCTATGGGGGCTTTGCCCAGACAGCCTCCGGAGTGGTTTGGAGCGGCTTCAAGGGTTCCGTAAGGTTCCGGGGGTTGCTGTTGGGGATACCACGTGGGCTTTTTTAGTATATGCTTCTAAGTCAAATGAGCAGCGCCCAAAAGCGATTCGCATTGGGCCAGGTTCTTCTGCCGGGTTATATAGTGAGGTCCAAAACAACCGGTGTAACCATGGTGGTAGGACCAAAGGTGAGGCTTGGGCCCTTCTCAGTTGCAAAATCACGTTTGTCGCCTAGTATTTAAAGGAACGAGCCCTGTTTTTTGACGGCTCCAGTCCGGTGGGGGATCTTTGTCTCCATGTTGGAGGTTCACTTGATGAGGAAAATGGAACATGGCGTGGGGAACCCAATGGAATTCAGGGTCATTGTTCGGATTGAATGTGCTCACCAAAACCTGAAGACCATGAAAATCGGATAGGATCCGGATCTGCAAGTGACCTCGGCCCGCCTCATTCTTCGTGACTGCTGACACGCGGAGAACGTTGCTGTGCGCCCTAAAGTGCCCTTCCAACTTCAAAGTGCTGTGCGCCTTTGTTGCTCTTTTGGTCATCCTTAATCGCTAGGCATCCAAAAGACAGGGTGTCCCATGTGTCCCCCTTAAACATCATTCCACAAAGAGGAAACTCATGTACAGGTGGCGACAAAGTGATGCTTAAACCTGCCCAAAGGGGAAATACATACAACCCCAGTGACGAGGGCGCGTTTTACATTCTTGCCCAAGTCACTGACCAGTCGCTCAAGATGAGCCCGTCCCAACATGTTGATCTTCACGATTCTTGTCCCCGGATGAGCGAATTTGTACCGCGACCGCTCTGTTGGGGTGAATGGCTAGTAGCCCAGAACGCACCTCAGTCGCAGGCAGCTGACAACTGGCGCAAAACTCTGGACGATTCCCAAGCAACGATCAGCCAGATATTAATGTGTACAGGAGGGAATCCGAAGATAGACCAAAGTGCTTCGGTGAACTCTCTGTTGATTTTGGGCCGCTGACCCTCGACAACTCACTTTGTCATTGAGTGGACTTCCCTCGTGGTTTCTCTTTTTGGTTTCCTTTGTTGGTTTCCCTTTTTGGGTTTCCATTCTGGGTTTCCATTCTGGGTTTCCCGTTTTGGTTTCCCTTCTTGGTTTGCTTTTTGGGTTTTCTGTCTTTTCTTTTTGGTCTCCCTTTTTGCCAAAGGTGGAGTGGTGTCCCTTTTGGCTTCCCTTTGGTTTCCCGTTTGTTGTCCGTGTTCGGTTTCCTTTCTGCCAGGGTGGATTGCTTTCCCTTTGCTTTCCTGTTGGTCTCTATTTAGTTTGTGATTGTCCTTTTTGCCAGGAGTGGATGTTGTTTTTTTGGTTTCCATTTTGGCTTGCCTGGTTGGTTTCTCTTTTGGCCAATGGCGGATCATGCAGGATTGCCTTCCCTGTTTGCCAGGGGTGTATTTCCCTGGTTCAGAACTATGTGTGCGTGCAAAACCCGTTGGCAAGTTGGTCTCTTAGACCAGGGGTGGATTTCTCATTTTTAGCATCCTGCCACCGGATTATGTTCAGGCCGTCGGGCGTCAAGACACTTTCCAAGGGTGGAGATTGCCGTTTTGAGCCAACGGGTGAGTATCTTTTTTGAATTTCAGTAGACCCCTCACTTGCTTGGAAAACCCATTTACTCTGAACCAATCAGGGGCTCCTACAGTGAGCCACAATCAGTCAGCACATGGACCGCCAATTTTGCCCTAGCTGTACCTTCTGGTTGGTTATGCCAACTGAGTGTTACCTGTTATAACAGGGTCTAAAAGGGCAATGCACCTTTATCAGCTGATTTGGATAATCCCTGTTTTGTCATGCATCCTGTATTCCTCCCTAATCCAATCCTGTCAAAAAAGGAAGCCAACAAGAAGAGACGGTGAACACCTGACTTGAGTATCTGGGCTTCGTCTTTGGACATCGGGCTAGTGGCAAACCACAAGTTTGGCATGTGGGCCAATCCTGGTCTAAAGGGCAGCCTTCGGCTCACTTCCTGAGTTGGACTTCAAACCGCTATGGGACCGGAAGCAATTGGACATTTTTGGGGCCAATCCACCGAAGTGATGGGGCAGGGCCGAGCTGCGGGACAGCCCCATGCAGCTGGGCCTGGTGTCGCGGGCCCTGTGCACGGACCCCAGAGAATGCCCGTGGGCATGGGTCGGGAAACCCAAAGGGCGACCGAAATCCATGTCCACCCTATTTTGGGGCAAAAAAAACAAAAAGGCACGTAAAAAAGGTAAACCAACCACAACACCTTGGTGAGCAACGGTAAAATCAAGAGCGTTGCTGTTCTCTTTGCTTGCGTGCTTTTGTTTTTAGCATCCACCAAAACAGGCCCGGGGATGTTGCAGGTTGTCCTCGTTGGGAGTCGGATAGCCCATATGTGTCAGCATGGACCCCCAAAAAGAGTGAGTTGCCCTTTGGTGCTCCCTTGTTGTTTGTAAGGACGCCTAAGCCCGTGGGATGCTGCTCAATGCTTCGTTGCGCTAGCTCATATACTGAGGGTCTGTCATAAAATGGGCCCAGCCACCCCCATCCCCGCAAAAAGAAATAGTGTTTCGGTGTCCATGTGGTTTTTGTTCGTACAAACACTGTGTTGAATCTCAGAAGGAGCGGCCACATGGCAAGATTTCGGGGCGGAAAGGAGGGATTCCGCACGTGATGGTGCCGTTCTTGGGCAATGTATGTTGGGCTTGTCAATTGTTCTGGATTGTACATTTAGCACACAGAGTGTGTCTTGTTTGTTGCGTGCTTGTTTGTTTGTTTGTTTGTTTGTTTGTTTGTTTGTTTGTTTGTTTGTTATGTCGCACGTCTCTTTTTGTGTAGGTATTGATTCATTTCAGTCACAATTCATGTATTTAAGTATCTTCATTTATTTCATTGATTATTTGTTTTCTTTTGTTTCTTTTGTTGTTGTTCTTTATTTCTTTTTTATTTTTCTAAATATGCATTTATTTCTTTCCTTATTTGCTTCTTTCTTTCTTTCTTTCTTTCTTTCTTTCTTTCTTTCTTTCTTTCTTTCTTTGTTGTTTTCTTTATCCTAGGGCTTCGCCATCACCAGCTGCGCTGGCCGGTCGGACAGGTGAGATGGGGAGCACTAAGAAGAGCTCTGTTTGGGCGGGACCTTGTTTCAGAGCCTGACCTCCGGACCACCCAAGCACCGCTCGCTGCGAACCCACACGCGCAAGAGGCTGCAAGGGGTTGCTTGCCCAACCCCCCTGGCACCGAGAATGCACCCACCCACCCTAGCTTGAGCGCATGTGTGCCTGCTTGCGTCCGGCGCTTGCGTCCGGCGCGCGTGTGTCTCACACCGAAAGCCAATCAGACCAACAAACGCATCCCCGGCAGCCCGTCCCAGCCCCACAGCAACCGGTGGAAAAATGAAGAAAACACGGCATGCGCGATGTTTTCCGCACAGCGGCGGCGGCCGCGCTTGTGCAAGAAAAGCCGCTCACTCGATCGCAGACTTGCCCGCCATGTCCGCCTACCGCCAAAACCTACTCTCAGCGGGCCATTCTTGAAGGGTCGATGCAGGGGATGTAAGGGATGCTGGAACTCCCAGATGCTGGTGGTGCTGGTGATGTCGGGAATGCCGGGGATGCTGGCAAAGTTTGTGAGGATGCAGAGGATGTTGGCGGGGATGCCGGCGACTGTCCGGGGCGATTTGCGTGGTCTTTACAGTCGTGTTTTTGAAGGTCGGGCAACGTGGCATCAGAAGCCCGTCGCAAGGCCAGGGAGGCCGGGGATGTTTTGGGGTCCAAGTTGTTTGGGCCGGCCTGCGTGCAGGTGATGCAGGCAATGCTGAGGAGGAGCTCGGGGTGCAACAAAACACGTCAGCGGTCTTCCCTACGGGTAGGGTTGCCCTCGCTCTTCGAGCTCGAAGACACACAGCGCAGCTGGATTTTTACTTTGTTTCTTTTTGTTCCTTTATCCTTTCTTTGTTCTGTTCTTTCCTGGTGTTTCTGTTTTTTGCTTTCTTTCTTTCATTCTTTCTTTCATTCTTTCTTTCTTTATTTCTTTCTTTCTTTCTTTCTGTCTTGCGTTCTTTCTTTCTTCATGTCTGCCTTCTTTCTTGTTTTCTTGCTTGTTGGCTTGTTGGTTCGCTGCTTGGCTGCTTGGCTGCTTGCTTGCTTGGCCACCTGGGTTTGTCTCTCAATAAGGGAACACCCCCCCCTCCCGCACAAAAACGCTGTTTTCCTTTTAGCTCCGCTTAAGCCAGCTCAAAAGGGGGACCTTCAAAAACGACAGGGTAGTTGCACAGGTAGGCATCATCAAGTTCCGAGGAGCCTCCTTTTCAGGATGGACGGTTTTTGGGGGGTTCCAGGTTACACTGTGGAGTACTGAGCCACTGGATCCTGCTGATCACACCGGTGTTTTGTTTATTTCTCTTGGGATCCGGATGAGGATGCCCTAGGAAACTATAAGGGGCTGGTTCAGTTTGGGGTGATTTCCTGGTTTAGTTCCCTGAGAGCCAGCAGCCTGGGGTTGTTCCCTTCTGGCTTCTTCAAGGACCTGATGAACCAATCTAGCACTGAGAGTTTTTTTTTGAACCAGGTTCCGTTGTTTCGACCAAGTTGGGTTCATGCCAACTCTTGAGGGGCCCTGGAATCGCTTGCCGATCTCACGAGGTCGCGGGATCTTGAAGTTTGCGCGAATGATGGCGCGGTACCCTGGACTGGGCTCGATACATTCAGGTGTTCTCCAGCCGGATGGCTCAAAATTCAAGAGCTAGGGTTACACAGGTTTTAGTCTTTGGTTCCATTTTCCAAGGTGTCATGTTGGTGCCGAATTTTTTGAGCCACAGCCAAATGGGGCACCAAGCTTGGAACGGGATAGGACTCACTTGCTTGCGTGGAGTAGCCCAAACAGGGCGAACGAGTTGGACAGCTTTGGATCTACCACGAACCTGTTCTTCAAAATTGGGATGGGACCCTCCAAAACGGGCGGTGTCCTTTTTGGTTTCCCTTGACACCAACCGCAAAAAGGGTATACACCCTCAACAAGAAAGCAGATTCCACTAAAGTTCAGGAGCTCAAGCCCCGCAGCCATTTCACCCCGGAAATATGTGGTCGTCGTTTTCTGGGCCATGGCCTGTGTCGTCTTTGAAGCACGTCCCAAAGCCAACGAAGGCCCAGCGCAGGGGCGGAGACATTTGCTTCGCCTTCGGAGACGAGGAGCCGCGCGTGTGGGGTGTGGGGTCTCCGATGCACCAAAACGGCAAGGAGAGGCTGCAAATTGGGAGCTTCTGCTACAAATGATGGCGTTCTGTCAGAGTTTTTCCGATGTCTGCTTCGATAGGAACTGGTTTGAGGTGTTGTGGGAATGAGCCAGATGAAGGGATGCTCTTAAAGGAAGCAAGCCATGCAGCTCATGACCCCTCCAATGCAGACCCCTGGGCCCCATGAAGAGCCCCGATTGAGGGCTCTTGGACCCATTTTGAGGGCCCAAAAACAATTGGGAGCCTCAAGCATGGTTCAGTTCTCCATCATTCCCTCCAACATGTTGGTGGACATGAATGCTACGGAGTCCCGGAAAATTGTGATTAATGCCTATATATGTATATATATATACATATGCTCCCCCCATCCACACCTCCATGCCTTCATTGGTACATCAGTTTCATGCAACTATAGCGCACTGGGTTTCAGTTCAGGCCAAACCAAATTCTAGTTGATGGCTTTGCTATAGTGATAATATCTGTACTTAAGAAAGGCCTGACAGGAATTTCAACTTAAAATCTGATTCAAAATAAGACTTCTAAACTTCATCGGTGCATCAGTTTCATGCCACATGTAAGGCCAAATCAAATCCTATCTAGCATCTGATCGGGTCAAAAATTTGGAACATGCTTCCATCGAGATTGTGTCTGGTCTCGCATTTGTTCCTCGCCTCGAGGTGTCGTCCTTCAATAAACTTAGCAAGTAGCTTACAACCATGGTTGGGGGAACAAGTTGCCCCAGTTATATGCATGGCCATAGCCTACTTACTAAGTTGGTGAAGATCCAAGTATATATACCTAGATAGCCAAGTGTTGTTTTCTTTCTTCCGGACACAATCAACCCTAACAAACAGCCACAGCTGCTGGGGGAAAAAAAAAAAACAAGCGCTGGCGGTCAAGGCACCTACCCTTACTAAGGGATCGGATGGGAGCGCTGGGGCATGGGCGATAGACCAAAACGGAGTAAAACCAGCTCGCTCACTCCTGCTGAGTTGTTCTCAAAATGGCGGACTCCCTGTTTGTTTGCATTTCAAAATAGTTCAAAGGAAACCAAGAGGGAGCCAACGATTTTAAGGGACTTCTTCCTAGTTTGAGAAACCCCGGATGAAGGTTCTTTCCCAGGTGTTTACTATCTTATGTCCGGATTGCGGCTTATGGGAAGAGGCGTACTGCTAAGGGAAGGCAGATGGAAACCGAAGCCCAGGAATCAGTTTCAAAGCAATGCGGGTGCGCCTTTTTGAGGCTACCCCCTTTTGAGCGGTTTGAAGGAGACACCCAAAGGAAACTACATAGCTGTTTTTGTTGTTGGATGTTTAGTTCCTGAAGACCCAAAAGGATACCCACCATGCTTTGGGTACCTCTATGTTTGGAGACACCCGCGTGCCATGGAACACCCGCGACAGGCTAAGAAGAACCCGTCCATCTCGCTGCCAATCATGCTCTTGGATCGGATTTTTGCCCGGGCACTCAGCCATCCAACGTTTTAAGCATGTTCAACATGTTGTTGTGGTAGACGAAATAAATATGAAGCAGAATCTGAACCGTCGAGGTCAAGGAGGATCAGGGTGTTGCGGGACGGGCTTGGTTTGGTTATAAAAATGCACTATCCCTTTCAGGCGTCTGTTTCCCATGGACTTGGAATGTCCCTCTACTGATTCGGATCAGTCTGGAGACTGGCTCCATTCAGAGCAATCTCCAAGAAGTGGATTTGCACCCCACTGACACGGCAAACTGCGACTGGTTGAGAAATCGCATCCCGCTTTGATCAGGGTGGCGTGTTCTGGTCAACCCTGGGAGAAGTTTTTTGCGCCCTCCCTTTTTGCCCTCTGTGTGTGTGGTGTGGTTGGGCTTGGAGGGAGGACGAAAAGCCGCAGAAGGTGGGGGAAGAGTCCCCTCAAGCCAGATTTGTTTGCGGATGGATGCGTGCCCCGGTGATTCCATTTCGCGATGTAGGCAACCAAGGCAACCACCCTACAACAAGGAAAATGGCGCTGGGGACTTGCTACGGCAACTGTGATCCGGAGAACCTTAAAATGGGGTTCTGCTTCCCTTCAACAGCTGCATTTCCCATGTCGCATCTGGCAATCTCTCCGCGCCATCTCTGGATTTTGGACGACACTGGGCGCCAAGGAAACCCTCTCTCAATTGAAAATGGCCGTGTCTCCCGCCCTATACCCATTTTTCTCCAAGATGTATTTTGAATGTCAGGGGTCGACATCACACCCTAAAACAAGCGGGTATTTGGAGCAGGAGGAACTAGTTTAGTGGTCATCGCTTTGGTGCACACCCAAATCCAGTTTTCCGGCTCAAGCGCGTGCCCCTTCGGAAGATGGGTGTAGCGACCTGTATACAATAGATAATATAGATATGGAGTATCATATATGCATATTATACACACGCATGTGTCTCTGTGTGTGTGTGTGCGCGTACGGGATTGTACAGGTGTGTTTGTGTCTCCGGGTACGCTGTGTTGTGTTGTGTCAAAGGTAAGCCAAAAGGAAACACATTTTTATTCGAGGGTCCCCTGTTTCAAGACATATCCATCTACTCCCCAGCAAAATAGTATGGTTTCAGTGTTTCTTGGAGTTGGTAGACGTTGGTAGCCTTTTCCAGGGTCGTTGTAAGGGGGAACCGCAATGAACTCCATTCATATATTATACGTCAAAACACGACCGGGTTCCACAGGCAGCACACCATAGTTGTGCGAGCTTTGGTTTCAATGCCACCATTTCTGCGTTCTCTCTAGAAACCACCTATTTCCCTCTGGCGTGGCCCGTTAGAGAAGGATCCCTGAAGAGGATGGAAAAGGCAGGTACAGCTGGACAATGCCTGAAACCCCGGTGGTTGTCTGGCTTGAAACAGCCCGCTCACAGAGAGAGCCCCATTTTCTTGCTGGGGCTCAGTAGGGAATGTGGGAATGAACCCAGGAACCCCTGGAAACGAAACCACCAGTGGGATGGTTTATAGGGGTCATTCCAAGTCTCATTCCCTGCATCTCTCGCACCAGCAAGTTGTTTTTTTTGGCTCGCAGTCCACCAAAAGAGGGAGCCCCATTTTTGTACCCCATTTTTCGCGCCCCATTTTTTGCGGCCCATTTTTTGAGCCCTATTTTGGGAGCCACCTCCCGAAGTCAGCGGCGCTAGCGCCTCCCAGGTCGCCGACACCTCTCACCCTCTTCCAGTCGGCGGCGGCGACGAGCCGAAGGCTGCGGTGTCGGAGCGTTGGGTCGTTGAGGCACCGGCCGAAGTCAGAGACCCCCCCTTACGCATTAACATGGAACCCCTTAAAGGGTACTTCCAGATACATGTTTTTAGAATTTGTTTATTATTGTTTTGGTAGGATGTTTAAAAGTTGTTCAGTGGATTCCACCCGTGGTTCTCCTTTTTGGTGGCTTCCCCGCTACAAACTGGTCAACCCCCAAAAGGGCTCCACTGTTTTTGAGAAGGGTCGCTGAGCTGGGACCTGCAACCACAAGGAGTGAGAGAGAGAGTCTCCGAAAAGGAGCTTCCTCTACAACCCTCTAGAGCAACCCCAAAAGGGCACCTTGAGAAACCCTCACCCATGTTTTTGGACTGGCCTTTGAACCATCAACAAAAGGGACTACACCAAATCGACGGGAAGCAACCAAACTGAATTGACGCTCAGCATTCACCGAATGGCTAAGTGAGCGCTTGTTCACATCTTTCACTACTCCTCTTTAAGGGGACCCGAGCCGACAACCAAAGGTTTCCCTTTGATGAGACAGAACCTTCACCATGGGGCGAGGTCGCACCCCCCTTAGTGAGGCCGATGTGCTTACGCAGTGCGGGAGTTGGTGGCTTTGTCAGGGCACTTGGCGGCTGGTGGACGGGAACTGGGCCGCACGCTCAGAATTCAGGGGACAAATCAGGTCTGAGCCTCCGCAGGGTCTCTTTCACAAGAAGCGCCGTTTTTTGGAGTGAGGCCAAAAGCCTCACTTTGTAGGATTCAACCCCCCTTGCCCCCCCCTTCTTGTATCAAGGCCTTACAGTCATATTGGAGCGGCGTGGTTTAGGAGGGCGCCTGTTCAAGGTCCCTAGATGCTGGAAGGCCCCTTTTCGTCAACCTGTCAGTTTTCATGTTATGGGTTTGTACCTTTTGGCCGAGCAAGTCAGCCCAGGCCGGTCCATGTCGGTATCACGGCACGTTATACTTGCCACCTGCATGTGGCCAAGTGTTGCATGTTGGATGGGTTAAAAGCAATACTTGATCCACATGCCAGATAGTGGTGGTTTCCCTTGTTAGAGCGTCCAAGTACGGATTGTGGATGAGGATTGGGGATCCCCTCAGGGTTGGGCCTTCGCTTGTTTAAACATGTTGGCGCCAATCCCGAGGTTCGCCACTCTTGCACTGTTTGAGGGTTTATGCTGGCCTCACCAACGCTGGTTTACTGTTTTTGTAAGGTTTGTGCTGGCGCCATCAACACGTTTTACTGTTTCTGTTGGGCCCACAAGCGCTTTTAAGGGTTTATGTTTGCCCCCAGACACCTTGTAAAGTTTGTGTTATGTTTAGGGTTTATGTTGGCCTCCAGACACCTTTCAGGGTTTATGCTAGGCCCACCAACACTGTTTTGGATTTATGCCGGCCCCAACAACACTGTTTTAGGGTTTATGTAAGGTTTCTGCTGGCCCCACCAACACGTTCTAGGGTTTATGTCGGGCCCACAAACGCTTCTAAAAGGGTTCATGTTGGCCCACAAACGCTTTTGAGGATTCATGTAGGCCCCCAGACACTTTTTACAGTTTTTGTTGGCCCGGGGACTTTGGGGGACGGGCAATCCTCAGGGTCCTGGCGAACATGTTTAAAGCCCTATTGTTCAAACAGTATTCTTTTGGTCGGTTTCCCTTTCAGATGGGACCGATGGGAGACCCCTGTTTCAACAGCCCATGTCGGGGGGTGTATCACTTCCGGCCGGGCCCGATTTGTCACCCGAATTTCTGAGCATGTCGCAAGTGCGCCGGAAGTCGAGTCAAGGCGGATCCTCGCGGGGGAGTTGTTGGAGCACTGGAAACGTACTAGATGGGTGTGTCTTTTGTTTGAGGACATCCCTTTGGCCTTGATCCAGAGGGAAACCAAAAAGAAACGATCCATTCTGTTGGTTTCCCCTTTTTGAGACAAACCCAACTGTCGCATGCGGCGTTTACATTTGTCCCCTGATGAAAAGGACCAGAGGGGGCAAACATGAGCTCCGGTGGCATCCCAGGTGTCCATAGACCGCAACTCCATTGTCTTCGACGCAGAGACCTACGCGCCTCGCCCAAACATGCTGAGCCGATTCAGCAACCAGACCCTGGTACTCCTTTGGGAAGCCAAAGGTTGTTGAAGCAATGGTTTTCAGCAAGTTTGAGCAAAAGGGGGTGCCCAACCCTGCTGATAACCTGCGCTTTGGGAGGATCGCCGATGTTTAATCGGAATTCCCCTGTATCTAGATTCAGCGGTGTGTTTTTTCTTGGGTATGACCCCAGCCTCTTAGGACACGACCTCATTCTCTGCTCCTGCCATGCCACTGACTTGCTGGGTGTGTGGTGGCCGCTTCCCCGCTTTCCTCGATGGCAGGTAGTCTCAAACAGGCCACCGCTCTTAGAATGGCTCGCTTGCCAACTGTCCTGAGCTTTGACCCTTTGCTTTTCCACTTGTTTGGTCTGGGTCCAAGACTTGCGTAACCTTGCGACCATCCCCAAGCTTCAGCTTCAAGTGATTCAAAGATATTATTGGGGTGTATGTTCCAAAATACGGGCACGCTCCCCCCCAAAAAAAACACAAAAGGACAAAAACAAATAACATTACAATAACACATAGCATAAATAACGGTGGCTTTCCTTTTGGTTTCCCTTTAAGAAGCGCGAAACTAGGGGGTACCGAGCCTCCGCCCATGTCATGGTGCCAAGGTGACCGTGGTTCTGGCCACCAGCTTCATCGACTGGCCAAAGCCCCGGACCGAAGCGCGCAGGGCGAACCTACACCGAAGCACGGGCTTTGTCTACGGAGGAACCAAAAACAAACTTCCACAACCAGAAGTGAAGTTTAAAAACCCTGCCCGGAGTCTCCACTTGAAAAATGAGAACAGGGGACTGTGGCAGCGAAGCGCGGGTTTTTCGTATTTTTTGTTGGACGCGTGTAAAATGTTTGTTTCTCAGTTGTTTTGGGGGATACGTGTAAATATGTGTCTTTTCCGCTGTTCTAACGCATTCCGCTTTTCTTGTTCCAATAAAACTAGAACCAAGAAACAAAGCCTAAATACAATCCTCAGACATTCTTTCTAGAAGTAGCCACTCACTGTGCCAAGAGTTCTGGGAGAATGTGTTTTTGTTGTGTTTGGTTCTTGAGCAGGGCTGATCCAGTTTGGGCCTGCTGGAATTCCTGTTTGGGCCTGCTTTTCTGTGAAAATTCGAGTGGAACTTTGCTGTTTAACTGTTTTCTGAGTTGTAAATAGAATTATATTGGAAAGGTCATTCTGTGTATATTCTAATTTGAGTCAGAATAATATAGAATAATTATTCAGTAATAGTCTATGTAAATATAGAAACTCTGATTGGATTGTTTCTTTAAACTTCGTCTAAAGTCTATCAGAGTTATCAAGTTCTACTTGGCGAGGAAATTATGTTTAAATTCCCAGATTGGATTCGGAACAAGTATTTCCTGTCCTATCTATATTTAAAAAAATATATTCAACATCTACTTGAATCTTAGAGTGCGGCAGTTGGTGGAGATGTGGAATTAGTATGAACAACGCTACACGGTACATGTGTGTTACGGTGTTTTCTGAACGGTGCTGGGGGGCTAAATAAAACACATATGTTTTGGACCTCTGACTGAGTTCTTTCTGAAGAAACTACATCATCAAGCTCCACTGGCTCAAATTCTGTCTAAATTTAGATATAATTCGAGAAGGATAGAACTCAGTCATAATATCTATTTTGAATTAGGATTTCAGTCATGATCATTCAATGTCAATATAGCTTCGTCCTTTCCAATAGACTTTTCTTTGCAAATCAACACGAGCTCGACATAATTAAAGCAAGTGCAAACAACAGATACAGACTTGCATGCGCAGGCAGATCAACATATAGCAAAAGAGTACACTGTCACAGTCCCCAGCCCTCTTAAACACAGGATCAGAACTCGGTAATGGCCCCATGTTTGAAAGTGTTTAATGCATACTCTAGGTTATAACCATCATTGTAAGCAGACTAGCCTCAGCTGCCCAAGTCATAGCCATGGTTCTATTTTGCTTTCTATTCATGCAATGGAGCCTGGAAATGATGCCATGTTCGCCGCGAGGCCACCTTTGGACCATTGAGCGTACACAAAAAGAACCTTGTCCCCAAGGGCAATCAACATGAGATTCCCTTGTAGTGATACATGCGCTATAGCAATCATTGCCAGACTTGGCTTATCTTTGCAAAAACCTGATTTTTGTTTGTCTTCCCTTCGGCCAGCAAAAGGTTAACTTTTTGCAGGCTGGGTCTGTCTTAGTGTCACGCTACCAAACATATTTGTTTTCTGCACCGGTGGGCATTCACTTGAATGCATGGTCAAAACACCAATGGCCCATGCAATCTGCTCTACAGGTGGAAAGAGCCATCTGTTCTCTACATGGGACACCACCTTTTGGGCCAGTTGAAAGTGGTTTCTCTTTTGGGGTGATGCCAAAGGAAGAAACATAGAGAAGCCTGAGAGACGTATCCAAGAGAATCCACGAGCCACCCATTTGGCTGAGAAGGAAGCAGCCAGCCGGGATCCAGGTTTGGCCTGCGGATCGTTAGAGAGACCTATCGAAGTGCTGTGAAGATCTGGTTTGTGGGACTTTCTGTTTTCGAAGCGCTTATACCTTACCCTCAGGTAGCTTGAATTGGTGGTTTGGATTGGTCCGGTGGTTCGGGGACCTTGAACCGCTGGCTCTTGTAGAGGGCAGATGGGAAATTACTCCGTAACCACCAAACCAGCAATCCAAACCACCAATCAGAGGGAAGCTGATTGTCTTGGGGTGGGGCTCCTTCTGTGTGGTTTTTCGGGTGTATCCCGGCGAAAACGGACCCTGAGAGGGTCTGCCCACCCCTTGTGAGCGAGGGTTGTCATGTCCAGGGTTCCGAAGACGGGCGTCATTTGGATATCGCCAAACATTGGAGTTGTTCGAACATCGGCCACTTCTTGGGTGTTCAACCAACTTAGCAAACAGGTTGTAACCATGTGGGTTAGTCCCCCTGGAACCATGCTTACAAGCTACTGAACCTACTTATGCTCAGTAGCTTGCACACGCGCGTGAACTTTGAAACTGTCTACATGTTGCAGACAAATCATCCATCCTTTCAAAGCAACGCCTTTCTTAAGGGAGAGGATACTCGGATCCCCGAGGACCAACTGGCAGCTCTCGAGCATTCCTGGCCTAGGGGTGCCGGCGCCGAGCTTCACTTCAGGGCTGTATGGGTGTGGGTCAAAATTAAACCACTAGGGGACCGCAGGTTTTAGTTCATGTTTCCATTTACCAGGGTTCATTTTAGGTACTTATTTTTGACCCACACCCATATGGTGGGATCTTGGGACTTTAGCACTTTAACTTTGTTGGCCATGGGTCAAAATCCAAGTCGTACCCCCAGTGAACATCCCAATCCCCACCAAAACAGACTAAAATGGGTGGTGCACCTACCTCAAAATGGTAGCATGGGTTTTGATCCACAGCCTGTTGTTGAAACAGCTTGGAATTCCATTGGGCCCACAAAAAGGTCAACTTTTGTGTAGAGGGGTCAACAACAACCAAGGTTGGGGTACTTTAAGACCAAAATGAGTCATAGAGGCATACTACTGGTTGTTTTTTTGGTGGGGTGTAGACCAAATTAAGCAATAGAGGTACACTTCTAGTTGTTTTTGCGGCCCTTATATGGTTTTTGCTGCGGGTCAGAACCCACCGACAAGCTCCCGAAGAGGAGCCAACCCTTTGTCAGCCAGATGAGCCACAATCAAAACCCGGGTAGATGAAGGTTAGTAAGGGACAATCCCACCCAGAAATAGTTGCAGCCGCCTTCTTAATTCTTTACATGGTTCTGGGTAGACCATTTTAATACCGGGTTTTGATTGTGACCCAGATGGCGGCACCCAGAGCGTGTTGTTTCTTTTGTGATAGGGGGGACTGTAGCCAACCAAAGGGCAAATCCCAAAGCGCCCTGGATGTTTTGTGGCAAAAGGTTCACCTGGATCCAAGTGCTCCATATTGTGGCCTTGGTGACAGGGATTTGGAACATAAATTCCCGCATCCACGGTTTGGGCGAACGTTCCTTTGACCTGGAATGGATTATGGACCCCCATGGATGGTTCCTTTTCGGTTTCCTTTATGGCACACCCGGAAAAGACAACCCTGAGAATCAAACTCTCAAATCAATCGATCAAAAAGGGCGCGCCCCAAGAGGATGGGTGCTCCCTGATAAAGGCGGATCCTGCACTAGATCCTTTTGAACTAGGCGGAGAGTGACATCACTTGGCGATTCCCGGCCATCCGGTTGCTTAGGCGGCTTATTGTGTGTTGACATTAAAATGGATTAGGTCATACCCCACGAAACGTTGAACTCTGAAAGCTGAACCCAATACGATAACGTGCTTGCAATCTCAGCCATGATGAAGGTTTGTTTCACAGGGAAGCTTTTGTTTGGAGTGGTGGAGATGTTTACCCAGACGTGACTTGTGTGAGATCACAGATGGGGCAACTCGTTCCGCCTGACTTCTTTCTGAGTTACCGTGTGGTCACCCGCAACAAGTGCCTTTTCAAGTATGGCCTAGTGAGCCTAGTGTCTAAGAGCTACCCCCAAACCAGTGCGTCGCCCACGGGAACATGAGCGACATACTCCCTGTGTACCCTTTGTGTGTGCACAGTTGGATGAAAATACATGTCACAATTCCCACATGTCAGGTTTACTCACGCCCTTGGCTTACCCACATGAATGGAATTGATCTGCTTTCACCCCGTGCATATTGTGGTTTTATACCCCATTTTCCCTTGGGGTGGTTTTAGGACTCGTTGTACCCCGCCTGGCCGAGACACTATCCCTGGAGACCTTTTGGGGTGATCAGGCGGGTCAGGTTCCGTTCGGATCTGGCGGGAATGGGGGGGGGATGTCAGCAATCAGCACTTTCTAAAGCTGCCTCGGTTTCATGTTGGCCCGTCTTTTACAGGGAGTCACATGTGGGTCCACCATTTTTGCAACCAGCCAATTGGCTGACGCGAGCAACATAGTCATACCCTCCAAAATTGTGTGTGAGTCCCGTTGATTTCCCTTTAAACCAACCTGAAAGGGGTGCCCTGAAACACAAGCCCCTTTGTTAGTAGGAAGTGTTCAGATTTCTGGGAGATCGAACACGTCCAACCTTGGACTGCAATTTGGTGGCCCAATAGAAGGGCTCAGCCCCATGTGCTTGTTTGTGCCAAGTTCGAAAGTGCTGAAACCCCGCTTACTCCCCGAAGAGGAGTTAGTCCTGGCGGGTTTCTGTACCAGGTGGCTTACTTCTCGCCCCCCCACTGGAGTGACTCCGGTTTCCATAGCACATGGAGTCTTTGGAGCAGCTCTGAGGCACATGTGTTGATGGCTTGAGGCAGATGTCCCTTGACATCAGCTGCCAAGAAGCCCCAGATCCAAGCTACCAGTCAAATGTAAGGGCCTGAAAAACCTGAACGTGGTTGCGGGATACTGCTAAAGAAGTTTAGTCGTGGTCATGGGAAAGGCTCGTGCCAACGACGGATGGGGACCAGCCACGCATTGCTCTGGCAAAACGTTTGCCATCTACTTAATTGTTGCCAGGCAAGCTTTTGATGACCTGGCAGACCAAGCATTGGTTCCTACCTGCCTTCCTTAGAGCTCTCGGTTGCCCCATCATCGGACACCCCCTTCCTATTTGGAAGATGCCTGGAGCTGAGCCTGCAGCTGAGGAGCACATGCGCATGCCCCCTGAAACAAAACTTGCGGGTGCTCAGCCGGGCAAACCCAGGGGTCCCCTTAAAGGAAGCCACCAGTTGGATGGCTTTTCTTGGGGTCATTCCAATTCTCATTCGCTGCATCTCTCGCACCAGCAAGATACGCAAACCCACGAAATAGACTTTTTATTGAAAATAACTGCTGGGAGTCCAAACGTCCAACTCCACATGGCTGCATATGGCTCTACAGCCGGAAGACGTTGGTGCTTACGTCTTGATCATTCGCACATGGCTATGGGCCAAAACCCCATACCCAGTGAATATCCCAATCCCCTCTAAAATAGGTTCCAAAATGGGTGATGCACCTACCCCAAAATGTTTTCCTAATCTGCCACATGTTTAAGATCTGGCATATTGTGTAACGATGTCTCGTGTTTGGAGGCCATGTTTTGGTCTCATGCGTTTGCCAGGACTTCTTCGACCGCAGACTTGGATTCAAGGTACCCTGGTACTCTCCAAGTCTTGGGCTTGGTGGTTTTGAAAAGGGGAACCCCACAATTGCTGGGGTTTCCTTCGGTTTCCTCTTACATAACCCAAAGGGATATCACTTAAACATAAAGACGACACCTTGCATCTAGTGCCATTATTATTATTTTAAATAGCCACCAAAACTGTAGCCACAAAAGGGCAATCGCCAATGAAACAACATCCCCCCCAGGCTACCATGATTATTCCTCTGAACAACCCCTTAAAACAGCCAAGAACAAATCCCCCCTAGAGTGCATGATTCTGCCTCTGAGCAATCCCCAACAGGTGGTTTCAATTTTAAAAAAAGACCCCGGTTTCTGAATCTTCACCGCCTGGTCCCCTTTAGCCGGCAACCCAAAGGAGATTGTTTGAACAAGAGCGGTTTACTTGCTGGTTCTCAGTAGGGAATCATTCCCGGAGTTTCGGGAATGAATGGTTTCGGAATCCCTTAAAGACGACCACAAGCATAGGCCAACCGGGTTTGGGGTCATTCCAACTCCATGTTCCAAGGCCCAATGGCCCAACCCTACTGTGGGTGGACGAAATCCTGCACCACCTAAGAAACCCTGGAATGATGATTCCCCCTGTAAATGCCAACAAACCATGGTTAATTCGTCCACACACAGTACTGAGGCTGAGGCGTGGCCTTAGCCTCCCATGTGGTATCAGCACGTTCTTCAGCTGGCAGGGCGCCTGGATCTCCCTCTGCGAGATGGACCCGGACGAGTCGGTGAGGAGAGCGGCGCCGGCAAAAAGGGGGGGGGGGAAGAGAGCTGTTCTGAGCTGGCTGGGTTTAAGGGACGAGCAAACGAGGCGACAATGGAGGTTTCCAACTAGTCACTTAGGATTGGTTTAGTGGTCCACGGTGTGTGTGTGTGTGTAACGGGAGTTGAAGATTAATACACACCTCGTTGTCCCATTGAAGAGGTGATTCTTCATGGGGGAGTGTTCCCCCTGCCTATTAACCTACCATGCATTATTATTGGGGGGATTCTGAAATCTGAAACCTTGGGATTCAGCAACCCGTGGAATTGAGCAGCATCACCTTCAAGTGGTAGATTACTTTCAGGGTTTCGGGTTTAGGGGATTGGATCCCGAAAAAATCTGCACGTATGAGGTGACTCAGTTGCCCAGTGGTACCTGTTTTTACTTTTTTGGGGAATGGTTCCCCTTCAACCTACCCAAAAAGGATGCCCTTTTTTTCCCCTGGCCACTGGGCATCTGAGGTGATGTGTTGTTTGGCTTTAACTGGCAATGAGTACAAGCAGCTGACTTGACGGGCGTAATAAGGCCAGTTGCCAAAATTTTCAGAAAATTGGGGAGAAGTCTCATCGAATTCGCGTGTCCTTAGTGGACACAATGAATGAATGTTGACTGCAGCTCAATGGTCCGATTCCTCGCCAGCCTTTGATTGCGCGCTAGTTATGGGTGTGTCTGGTTTTGAGAGAACTCCCATGCGTGGGTTGCCTCTGAACTCCATTGCAAGCAGCCCCAACAAGGTTACCCTGAACAAGGGACATTCCCGTGTCTTGGACCCAATAAGAGTCATCCCCTGGTTTGGCCTTGTTCGGACCGGATGTTGGGCAGATGTTTCGATATTTGGAAACATGCTCTGGGTTCATTTCCCGGATCCCTGGCAGGACCTACTTCCTGGAAGCCAAAATGGAGCCTGTCAAGGTGCGAACGGACCAGTCGTCGCTGGATATTTGGCCACAGTATATCCATGGGTGCAACAAAGTGACATACCTGTACCTTCTAAAGGAAGTCACCCCGTCCCCAACATTATTTTGAGGCCTCCTCAAAATTCAACCACTTTAAGAGAGCCAGTACCCTCCCAGCAAACACAAAAAGTGCTGGTCGATCCCCTTGAGAACGAAACATGTTCATTTGGAGTCCATTGTTGGGAGGGTGTTGAAGCCGATGTTTGTTAGGCGTCAAACCTTTTGTCCTTTGCTTTTTGCAGTCAAGTCGATGGTCAAAGGCGGAAGGAATCAGCAAGCCACACCCGATGCGGATTCAGGAACCGGTAGATAGACTTTGTGCGTTGTTGGGGCGGGGGGAGGGGAGGGGCGGCACCCCCCCTTTTCGGAGCTGTCCGCACAAATCATGACGAGCTCACAGAGGGGTAAGACGTGGTCATGATGAAGGTGCCTTATTTCCGGTTAGCCCAAAAAACATAACGTAAATTCTGGACATGTCCTGGTAAATTGTATGCATCCTGCGTTTGTGAGGTCTCGGAATGTTCGTTATTCCCCGGGGCCAGGGTTTGGATACAAAATGAGGCCCGAAACGATGATAGTCCCGGGGAAAAAAAACAACAAAAAACAAAACAACTATCTTCTTTTCGGTCGGGGGGCGCTACGGATGGAAGGGGTGCTGAGGCGCGGAACCCTGGGGCTATTGCGTTGAAGTATCGGGGGTCCTCATGAGCGTAGGCTGCTCTATACATCAAGATGTTTTAGGCACATGCAATGTCAGCCGTCAGCTGGCCAACCAGAGATTTTAGGTCAAGCAAAGCAAAAAGGAGGTTCGGAACCTCATTGTTGCTCGACTTATTGAATGGTTCACGTGAGATGGCTGTCCTTAGGGGCGGAAAGAACCATGGGTTGCTGGCAAGCGTTCTCTGTTCATCAGGAAGCAGGACTTTGTGCTTCCAGGCATTTACGCCACAGATATTTGCTCACAACCTCTGACGTACGATGATCTACCATGGCCATGAATTGGCACACAACGAGCCCGCGTGGGGACAAAACAAGATCAACGGCAAACGCAACGAAGGTCCCCAGAAATAAACTAGCATGAAAGTTCACAGACCCTTGTGGACATTGCGCCCTTTGCACGTTTTCTTCAGCCCTAGCACCTTGGAACCTGGCTGAGACCCCACCAGGTGAGGTCCGACACGCCACGGCCCTCCACGGCCCGGGGCCCGTGACATCGCGTGACAAAAAAACCCACGAGCTCTGGGGTAAGACGAGAGCGATTCCACTGATCCCTTAGGATTGCTTCAGCTTGGTAAGGAAATAGGCAAAGCGAGAGTAGCAAGGCCGAGTTTCGGGAGGGACATCCAAAGGACCTCCGGCCAGCGTTCTGAAGGGGTGCTGAATAGGGCATTGTTAGTGTCCCAAAAAGAAACCAACATGGGATGGGTAACTTGATTTTGTTCAGACGTCCAATAAGCATGGTCCAAGCTGAGGGCAATTCCCAGAGAGCCTTTAGTCGATGTGTCCTTTGATTCAGTCACAGAGTCTTAGAATGTGAAGACAAGATTCTGAAACTTAGAATCTTATCTCACAGAATCCTTTCAGTGATAACCCTTGTCTCAGATTGATACAATTAATTCAATGGTCCACCATGTTTTTTCAAATGGGCGTCCAGGACTAAGGAACTGCTGGTTGATTCATGGTAGGGTGTCCCATTTTTGAAGGAGCCTTCATTTTGAGGGGAGCCTTTCTACTAGTCTACCAGGTTGGTTCATTAATCTGGGTTCGACACTAACGGAGAAACTGTGCTTAAATGGTCCGTAACTTCTCTAAACCACTTGCCATTGGTGTAAGTCCCCTAGTGGGTCAAAACTAGGCTTAAAACGTTTGGCAAACTCCCAGTCCATCTAAACAGGTGTGTCTTTTTTGAGCCTCGGTGCCCTTTGTGAGGTTGTTTGAAGCCCCTCTGGAAAACCGATCCAAATCCCTTTTTCGACACATACCCAAATCTTGTTACCAGTTTCTTTGGTCGGTGCCTTTTAGCTTCCCTCCACTTTGGGAAGGCCAACATTCCAAGTGTTGGGCTTGCGACCGATTGGCGTTTCTGTTTTTGAGGGGACCCCTTTCTACGGATGCTCAAAGGGAAATTTGAAGGCAAGAAACCCATGTTCGATGAAGCTTCCTTGAGGGGTTCCTGACTTGTTGTTGAATTGTGATTGACTCAAATGACGTTCGGTTCTCTGATGCTTCTTGCTCCTGGTGTGTCACGAGCGGAATCGGAGATTCATAATCCGTATCCGTCCCATTCTCAGGGATCCTTCCCAATGCGCCAATGCCGCAAGAAGGGTTGCTCAGACAATCGAAGAAAAGGAATACACGCGCGAAAGGCTCCCCCAAGACCTCGGGCAGCTCTTGCAGCCCTTTGTTCCTTCACATGGAGCTCTGGAGGATCCCTTGGGGTTGGGGGAGGGTGCTTTGTGGAATTCGCTCCATGTTCCTCAGAGAAAATGCAAACTAAACTATTTGCAAGGGGCCCTGATATGCCGTGATTTACCATGGTGTTGGGGTTTCACGTGGTTGGTTTACTTGCAACTGTTCGGGCATGAGCAGAGGCACTGGAGGTCTTGCTGTTCTGTCGTTTCCAAGGGGTCGGAAGCAGAGCAAAGGCAGAGGTTCCATTCGCGCCACCCGGGTGGCGTGGCCACGCTGACTTGGCGATGGAGCGGATGTATTCTACATATGGCAGTCATGTATTGCGGTCGAACAAGCAATGCACCATATGTTATGCTGACATCAAGTCAAGTGACGCATGTGACTTCGGGAAAGCACAAATCAGCAGTTGTTGAAGCAGGCAGCAATATAATATAGAACCAGTTGCATGTTACAGGGCCCAACTACACGCATGTTACTAGCAGGAGGGAGGGGGGGGTCACTAGCTATGCCTGGTATGAGTCATCGTTCGCTGCCAAGACAAGACTCCCACGTTTTGTCACCCCTGGTTATAGAACTCATACCCTTAGTTGGACCCTATGGCTTATAGCCACTATGGCGTATAGAGTGACAATCACAGCTGTTAGGTCTATGACGATGAGGCCGAAAGGCGGGTGCTGACTTGCTGACCTGTCGGTCGAGCTGAGCGACCTCCCGCTTTGGGAGGTCCCAAAAAAGGAGACCACCTTCGATTTCCAAAGCCATTCTGGGGTAAAGTTTCTCTGGGGTCATTCCTGGAATTGGGGAGTCACCAGGCAAAAAAAAAGAGGTGAGTCACCAGCCAGGGAGGGGGGTTCCCTTGCAGACCATTTTGCATAAAAGAGAGTCCCTTTTTTGCCCATGACCACTGGGGGCGTGGGCTCGTCTCCAGGGCGCAGGAAGAGTTGGTGATCACGGACGGCGAGGAGAACAAGGCGCCCAGCTCACGGCCTGAGATTCGACAGGTTGCTCCGAGCCAACCCTTGGTCGCTGTTGCCAGAACATGTGTTATATGTTGTTGACTACATATATGGAACAGACTGAGACACATCTTGTTATTGGAGTACCCCAGATGGGCCAAGTCAAAGGAAAAGCAACATAAGGTGGCTTAAACGGAGGTGGTTCTATCTAGGGGCTCACACCCTGGCGAGTCTTCAAAGGTTGACCGCACCTCAAGGCTGGCTGCATATTCCGTCGGTAGGGTTGGGACCTGGGAGGAAAGTTGTCTTCCTAGCCCGTAGACCGAGACATAGCCTCGAGGCCCCGTCCAAGTTGACCGGGACATCTCCTCGAACCCCTGTATTCCGGCAGGGTTGGAGACCTCAGGAAGGGTGTTTGTGACCTCATGAAGATTTCCTGCGTAGGGGTCTACAAAATGTTGGGTGGTTGAAACATCATGCATCCAGAACGTAGGGACTGGACCCCTGGCAAAAAGCCCTTGACATGGGATGGCTTGGCGCCTTTTGAACATCCCATGGACGGCATGTTCCTGCAGCTCTTCCCCCGAGTTCCTGGACTTTGTACTTTTTTGGGAAGACTAGGGTTGTTTGCTGAGGGTGTCCTGAGGGTTTCTGCAAGACGCTGCTGAATCTAAGTTGATGTTTAACCTGGATCCTTCCAATTGCTGTTCAGACCGTTCAGTTTTTTGTAATCAAACTGCAAATTTGGACTCTGCCAGAGGATGTTTTGAACTGATTTTGTGTGTTGTGTTTTTGTTTCCTTTTTTTTGGGGGGGGTGAGGGGAGTGGAGGGCTTCCTAAGCCTCAAGCCCTAAGCCCTCTGCCCTAAGCCTTGATGAATATGAGGCAGAACCCGAGAGTATGATTTTGGTGTTAGCTGGAAGCGAGTGCGTTGGTACTTCTGGGGGTTGTCTTGGGAACCGACATTTTGTTTTGTGTTGTGAACGGAACTTTTTGAGTTGGAACCTCTTTTTTTTTTGGGGGGGGGGGCACAACCAAGTTACCCACCATTGGTGGGGTGGTTTGGGTTGATTTGGGGAGTTGAACCCCTTTCGGTTCATGAGACACCCCCCAGCAATGGGGAAGCTGCATCGCTCCAGGCCTCCCCCAGCAGCGACGACGAACCCGAGGAGCCGCTGAACCGGCAGAGGACGGCGATAACGCGGTCAGAGGAACCCGAAGTGAGCAACAAAAAGAAGAAACCATGGTTTAGATGGGGTTCAAGTAAGGAAACCTAGGTGTCCTTTTTGGTTTGCTTAAAAAATAGAGGGTGGTTTAGATGGGGGTTCATTCCAGGGCCATCCATTTTTCCAAAACGCCACCTATGCGATCAAACCTTTAAGGCTGTCAGTTGCTCATGTTGGGCAACGTCCTTCCAGGTCGTTTGTGGCCGAATACGTGGACGAGCCCCTGTGCCCCGTGTTGTTGCGACAGGATGAACCGCAACCCTGCAGTTATTTGTTGCCATGGGGGCGAGGGGAGGTTTTGGCTTGCGGACTCTTGGACTTTTGTCCGCAAAAGTGCGCAGTTTTGGTTTGCTTGCCGCTGTAGCATGGCGCGTTTTCGGGCAAGAACAATAGAGGATGCCAATAGACCGACAGGACAAGTAGCAACGGAACAACAAGACAAATTAAAGAGAAGCGATGGACCAACAAAGCAATTGTTCACCTGCACAGACCATAGATACAGTGGCCAACATCTAGCATTGGGATGGATGAAACCTGAATACTTGGCACCAACTACCAACTGGTGTGCAGTCATTTTGTCCATCCACAGGATTGCTGAAGAAATGTGAATCCAGGGATGTCCTGAAAGGAAACCGCCAGGGCTGGTTCATGCGGCGTCATTCGCTCATTGCCTACTGAGAACCAGAAAGAATGTTATTGAAGAAGCGGGGCAATGTACTCCACCCAACGGGCTTCCTTGCCACCCCATTGAGAGATTCTGGCTTTAGAGAAGGGCCATGGTGTGTGTCTTTGGTTAGGGATTCTGGTGCGGATTCTATAGAGCTTTTTGTACTATTAGGGTTCTAAATACGTACTAGTAGTTTACACATATCCTTGACAAAGCTTGGTTTTGAAGTACCCCACAACCCCATTCTAACTATGTGACCCCTAGTATCCATTTTGGCCGCCCTAAGAATCATGGCATCAACGGGCCCGTTTTGAGGTCCAGCTCCAGTTTTGGGTTTTGGGCACGGATCGTCAGGACGCCCTACGACGAGATGGAAGAGTTCGAGTTGTGCGAGGAGGTCCCACTGGAGCGCCGCTGGCCTCAGATCCAGGGTTCCAACTCTCGATTCTCGACTTAAGGTCCCGGGGTTTTTACACCTGGGCACATCAACACCACTTCTTGGTGCCAAGTCTACCTTGGTAAAAAGGTGAAATCCCCCGGTTTTCACTGCTCCCAAACCATCTTGGGGTCCTCGGACTTCACCTCTGCCAGTGTCCGGCGTGAGGGTTAAAGCGTCATTCATATGGGCTTGTCTTGTTTGTGGGATCCCCCCGTTTAGTCGGGTTGATTGGAAAACCACCAGACAAGCACATACTTTTGGGACTTCCTATTTTGAGGCGGACTCATACTTTGGATATTTATCTAAAGGGCACATGCACCGTTATCCCCTATATAGGTCTCAGTAGTGGCTCGGGAGCAGTGGGAATCTGGGAACCATCTTGGTGCAAAACCACTCATTTGGACTATGATCATGGGCACCATTCGCCTGTAGTTCCCTTGGGTGGTTTTTAAACAGCACCTTTTGGCCGCCAATGTCAAGTGGCGTTTCGTTTCGGTGGGATGATTGTCAAGGGGGAACTCGAGGGAACCCTGATTTTGATCCTTTTGTGCAGCCTGGGGGTCGATGATGGGACTTTATTTCATCAACTGATTCTTTTTGAAGTGAAATCATCGGGGTTCTTAACGACCATGGCTCGTGTAGCCCTTCATTCGTGGTTTCGATTGGCGGCTTGGATTTGGATTTGAAGCCCTGGTTCATAGAAAATTGGAAGCCACCACTCCAAACCACCAAGAAGGAAGCTGAATGCCACAGGAGTTTTGCTGGCAATCTTAGCTCCAGCTGCATGGACTGGAAAAGCCGAGTCGAAAAAGCGACCTCATAAGTGGTGTCTCTTTTTTTTCAAGGGCCCCCCAAAATGTGTTTTTTTGTTCTTTTGGCACTATCCAAAAGGGGGTACAAAAAAACAAGCCCAAATGGAGAGCGGGGGTGACTCCACCGCAATCCACGCAGGTTCCTTCCATGGGATCCCACAGCTTAGTGCATACCATATGGAGCCAGAAACAGGGTGTTCCTCGAAGGCGACTTGTCCTGCAAAAGGGACCACGGGTAGGTTCCGCGTTTGACCAGAGGGCAACTCGCTTCTGGCTTCCGAAGTCATTGGCCGCCAGGTGCACGGCAGTTGCTCGGTGAGGTGTTGAGTGGATGAATCTGGGCAACTAATGAGCTCTCGTGGGGGAGGGGGGGTAAGACGAGCTCACCGGTGATGAAGGTTTGGCGTTGGCGGGTGTCCGTTATTTCCAGCTTGGGAGTGAGGGTGATGAATTTGGTTCGAGTGATGAAACCTTGCTTCAACGTGCTGGATTTATATTTGGGGCTGAGGCCCAAAGTAGAAACGCCCAAGCCACATTTCCCTGGGGTCATTCATGTAGCACTGGACAAAGCGGAAGTGGATTTTGCATGAAGTACAACGATGGAAATAGTCGACATCATACCAGGTGGGATAGATGAGAACACACTGAATACGCCACCTACCAACTGGAGCAGGGTTTTCACCCAGACCAAACCACCCACAACTGGTTCAGAGTTTGTTCATCCACGGACTGCTTTTGCGGCAGCAAAGAAGCGACCGGCAGGCGAATGGCTGCGGCAGCCAGTGGACGTCACGTCGCCAGGAGAGGGCCAGCGATTCTTCATTGACGTTTCCTTCCCTGCACCGAATGGCGTTGTTGGATACCGAACAAAAGAACAAACACATTCATTTGGTGGCAAGTTCTGGAAAGCAAAGAAGGTCTGCCTAATGGAGGTCGTCCCTTTTTATGTTGATTGCGGCTTGCTTCTCCTTTGGCCAGAAGATCAAACCACAAGTTCCGTGACACTTAGTCACTGGCCACAAGTTCGCAAAGTCACCAACCAGCCCCTATTGGGATTGTGGGGGGCCCTTGGCAACCGCAAGAACAAGCCGTCACGAGTGATCACCCTTGGCTCCTGACCAATGTTCAACCTTTGGTGCAACCTTGTAGCACCAAGTCTGGACCAATGAGATTAGGTTCAGACAAAAGTCATTTGTCTTGCTCTTTGTACACTAGGGTGAAAGTAGATGGAACAATTCTCTTTAGTTTGGGAAGTAAAGGGGGATGACTGACCCCCAATTGGGCTTGTGCTCTTACTTGTCTTGACCAGGTTAGGTATGTAACCAAACAGTATGGCCCACATCTTCCATATTCCACCTGGATCTTTGGGCTTTCAAAAGGCTGGGCAGCTCTCAGGAGCCGCCGGCGCGGCGGAGATGGCGAGGGCCGGGGTCCCATCTTCCTTTCTTCACATCTGACCATCCGCCGAAAAGGGAAGAGACAGACGACTCCAGTTCACACCCCCTCCAACAGACCTCCGGGTTTGGTCTGTTTCAGTCTTCAAGAGGGGTTTTCAGCCAGAAGAGTGGTTTGCAGCATAGGAGAGCCCGCTTACAAGCCGCCCATATCAGGAACTAACCTGTTGCTGGTGAGTCAGACTTGGGGTTAAACCACAAAGAGGGTCACACAAAGGTTGGGCCACCACCTGTTTGCACGTGTTAAAGCACCTTCCCTGGGGTGTTCAATGAGGCAAATCAGCATGTGCATAGAGTATGTCCCACTCAAGAGGCAAGAGGGGTTCACCCGTTGCCGGTTTCTTAGCTTGTTTGAAATGAAATCACAAGCTACCAAAGGGTTTCAATTTACGACCGAAATCACCTGCGAAGCAGGGTGGTGGGTTTGTACTATGCTTTTTCTAGACGTGATGCTTCCTTTTTTTGGTACCCCTTTGCCCATGGAACATCATGGGACCAACAAGAACGGGAAGAGTTTCTTGGGTTCCCGGACCCATGTTTGGAATTGTTCATTTGGGAGGTATCCAAAAGCACAAGACTTGCAAAACGTTCAATTTCGAAACCAACCGAGCTGCCAACACGTTTTGGCCCCGCTCTCCTGGCAGTGCTCTCTCAGGTTGCCCAAATCGAGCCGTGCGCCCAGCATGCCCTGGTCTTTGTCTGAATGAGTTTTGCTGAAATCTCCTTCGAAAGAGTCATGGTTTATGATGGGATGATGGGCTACACATGGAACAGAGGCAGACAATATGTTTTTCAGCGGGTGGGATGTCAGGATTGAGACTCTCACACCTCCCGCAATGGGTAAACCGAAAAGAATATGGCTGGTCATTATCTTGACAGTTTCTGGGGTTATCAAAGTCGGGTTGTTTCCCTTTAACTCACCACTTAGGGGGTGACTTTGATCATGGTAAAATCATGCAGCCAGTACGGTCAGAAGCCACGGCCTGAATCCGAGGGCTCATCTTACCCAGGTGCATTTCAGATCGCTCTGCAGTGTGGATCCCTGTGACCCAGCGCATTTTCGTGTTTTTCCTCACTTTAGCGAAGAGAACACACACTCAGCTTCCCAGTGGTACCCGTTTTTGCCTTTTCTTGGGATTGGTTCCCCTTTACAGTCAACCAACCCAAAAAGGATGCCCTTGTTTTCCCCCGCCTGTCATGGACTTCCTTCGAGCCAAGTGTGCCTTGAGGCATAGTGTTGGCCCCGGTAGAGGTGTTGCCGCCAAAGTGAAGGCGTCCCTCATGAATGGGAACCCTGCGTTAATTGACCTGGCAACAGATGGTTCGCTTGATGCCATTTTGGCGTGTTCTTTTTAGACATGTTTCAGCCCGCCCCATGTTGCAATCCCCATCTTTTCAGACACACCCATCAAGCAGACTTGTTTGTGGGCTGAAATCAAGGAATTCAGCCAGTTACTTGGGCGTGTCTTTTTTGGAACCAAGTAGCAGCCAAGAAAAGCCCGAGTGGGTTCACTTTGCCTGTCTGCGCTCTGTTTTGGGTGGGTGAGTTACGGGAAGCCAAAGGCGGGCCGCAGTCGAGTTTCAGAAATGTCAGGCAAACCCATGGGCTGGGTGCCAAATAGCCAGATTGCTGAACAACAAGTCCCGAAAGAATGCAAGAGACCTTATGGGGATTGCTGGAGTTTCTCAAACGGCTTTCTTATGTTTTCCCCAAATGCCAACAAGTGTTGGTTTCGAGTTTTTTTCGGGAGTCCTTGCTTCGCACCCGCCCAACAATCCCGGGTTGAGGATGGCGCTGGACGCGCCGGACGTGGGGCCGCTGCGCCGGAGAGCCCAGCGGTGAAATCTTCGCTCCGGTTGAAGCCTGGGGGGTTCTTGGCAAGGAATTTTTGGTGGAACCCCCTGCAGTGATGGACAGGAATCCCCAGATTCTGATGTCCGCCAGAAAGGAATCAGATCTAGAATTCATATCCATAGGGCCGTCCATAAGGTGCCGTCCTTTTTTGAGGTTCGGTACCCTTTTTGGGCTGGTTTAAAGGGAGACCAAAGACAAGCCACGGATTTTGGGGTGCCTTAACAAAAGACAAGCCTAGTTCCTTAACGGGTACACCGAAGGCAAACTGACCATTATTTTATTTGTTTGTCGTTTGTTTAGGGGAAGTTATCTTATTTCACAAGGCCGTGTTCTTCGGATCCGCACATTTGCCACCTCCTTGATGGGGCAGGGGTTGACTCTTGAAAAACACAGTTGCAAACGATTCTCCGTTTTCGTGGAGAAGACTAGAACAATGGGAGAGGGATCGGGCTTTGGGGCAGACCACTTTCTGTGAAACGATGGGAGCTCTTCTGAGATCGAAATAATCAGTCATGGGGCTGGCCCCACTTTGGTATCACCGAGGTTGCTTCCCGCGTTCTTGTTCTGACGACCCCAAATCAATCCTGGTGAATCCCCGAAAAGTGATCCAGTGGTGGGTGTCTTCCCTATTGTTTAACCACAGGTTTAATCTTGGATGCCCATTTCCAAAAAAGTATCCCCTTGAAAGTGGCAAAGTGGTCACGCGGATAGGAATCCCACTTTGGTATGGTCATTATGAAATATGACGAACAAGGTTGTCCTAGTATATCATATTCGCACAATGCATGGCCTACCAAAAAGTGGGTCGGGGTTCCTCTTGTCCCGGAAAAGTGGGTCAAAAGGACACTCCTATCCTGCAGCGACAATTAGGGCCCTCCGCAAACCCATTGCAGATGGCGTAACAAGGCCAGGAAAGTACAGAAAGTGTGCGGTTTCAGATGGAAAGGTCGTGGTTCTTGGATGCGAGCGTTTGGCTTCAAACAATTCGGGGAAGACCTATTTCTCTACCAACCAGCAAGCAGTTCAGCGTGATTTCAGTGTGTGTTCAACGGGTTCAAAAACCAACCTCTCGAGTAAAGAGCCCCGTAGGCTTCAGGCTTTCGCCTTTCGGGAAGCACCCAAAAGGTGGGAGGAAGGTTGAAGCAGGTGCAACCAACCAATCCAAGGGTTCATGAGTGTCAGAAGTAGAAGTGGCCTGTAATAGCGGAATGGTTGCACATAGAAGCCCATTGGTTTCTTCATGGGGGCCAGAAACAAAAATCGTGGGGCCACACAGCGCCTCCCCAAAACCAGCCCTTTCAAGCCTTACGGCCTAGTAAGCCTTGCTAAGCCTGCTCTTTTGCAACCGCTGGTTTCAGCGGGGGTCAGGGGGCCAGGCTTTAGGGTTTGAGAAAAGTCCCAACCTGGAAATTCCAGAAGACTAAGACAAAGCTAGGTGGCAGCTGAGAGTGGGGCCGTTGCCTGGCATAAGCAGACAAACAAACTAGCGAACGAACTAATGACTCAAAGTAACAAACGTTGTTGAACTCATTGATTAACTGCCTGTTTGGCTGGCTGCCTGACCAACTCACTAAGCAAATCATGAAGTAACGAAGCAACTGACTGACAGACGACCAACCGACCGACCGTTTGGCTGGCTAACTAGCCAACTAGCTAACTAGCTACCTAGCTAACTAGCTAACTAGCCAAGACGCTAACTAGCTAAACAGCTAACTAGCTAGCTAGCTAACTAGCTACCTACCTAGCCACGAAGTAAACTAGCTAACTGTTGATACCTGCCTGGCCAAAAAGCGAACTAGCTAACTAGTAAACTGCCTACCTAGCCAAAAGCTCACTAGCTAACTAGTTTACTACCTACCTAGCCAGAAAGCGAACTAGCTAACTGAAGAATTTGATCGGTCAGTTTGGGGTTTTACATCCGTTGCATCCGCAGTGTGGCTGTTCAAGCGTGAAAATGTGCGAGCAGCGCACTTGGACGGTTTGTTGTTTCCTTTTGGGCCCCAAACCGGTAACCCTTGAATCTATAGGTTATCAGCCGTAGGCCCCTAGCTCTAAGCAATGGACGGTTCCCTTGTGCCAGTTGATGGATCCAGCATGCCTGTGGATGCTGCCGGAGCTAGCTCCGGCAACGCCACCGGCGGCGGTGTGCGAATGTTCGCATCAAGCGCTAATGCGCAATACAACCGCACCCTGATGAATTCCCTTCAACTGTACAATACCGCAATCTTTGCTTTTGGGAATGATGCAGCCATTAGGTCTGAAGCCGAAGCCCTGCATCAAGCAGCTGTAACGCATTTGCAAGCGGAAAACCGTGAGGAGCTCCGTGCCGCACAGAATCAGCTGCATGCACACTACGCTGAATGTGTGCAAGCCCAGTCGCATAGGATTCGTGAATACGAACAGCGAGTGAGCGATGAGTTCATGCAAGAAGTGAACTTCGCTGAAGCTAGGATAAGCCAAGTGTGTGAGGAAAATGCCCAAGCATTGCATGAAGCGGAAATGGGACGCAAAACAACTGAGTTTAGGCAAGCCATCGAATCCACCCTGGCTGAAGCCCAGCAGCTCCTCCATGAGCAAGCTGCCAAGCATGCCGATGACACAGCCCGTGTCGAGGCTACACACGCCAGAACGGTTGACATGATGGCACACCAAAACGGGCTTCTGCAGGACGAGCTTGATGAGCTGAAGAAGTATCAGAAGCAACACGACCTCCGCGAGGATGGATCGAAGCCCAAAGGGGTAGGTGATACCCGAGAGGATTCACCAGAGTTGATGACCGACGACATGAAGTCAGCTCGGTCCCAAAGGTCAATGTTGGACCCGTTGACCCATCCGTTTCAATATGCAAAGGAAAAGTTGAGGTCGCTTGTTACTTATGACGGTTACGGGGATGAATATACCCCTAGCGTGATTCCAACTGCCGAATGCGAAGCACTGCCCGCAGATGCTCGCGATCCGCAAGGACCCGCTGAAAAGCCATCAGGTAGCAGCCGATCCCCGGTGAAGACAAGTGCACCGGTCCCACCCCTGCAATTCTCTCAGGGGCCAATGTCAACTGACCGTAAGCAGGGTGGTAAGCCTCCCGGCGGTCCGCCACCTGATGATGATGGCGATGGCGATGGTGATGAAGACGAAGGTGATGGCCTCGGGCCTAACCTCGGCCAAGAAGCATTCGCCAAAATGTTGATGAAGTTAGTAAAAGGCCACACGAACGATGAAAAGCCCAGAACCCGCGAAAGCGAGACGTTGCGATTCAAGGAGATGCCAACTCCTGAAACGTACCGTGAATGGAAAACATCGGTTCGTGAGGATGTCCGCGCCGCATCTGACCGTCCAGACGAGGCTTGGCCTTGGATCATGGAAGTCTGGTCTGATCGCGAGGACAAGAAGAAGCTGTTGGAGGAGCTCGGCGAACCGGGAAAATTCGTGACCCTAGACACGAAGATTCTCGCAGCGCTCACGCGTTCAGCGAAAGGCGATCTGGCTCAGCGAATCCTAACAGCAAAGGAAGAATGTGCCAAGGAGGGAAAGGCCATGAGAGGAAGGCAGGTCTTGTTTATGTTTGACCAATATTTCAAGACCAGTGAAGAAGCCGGAAACCTCTACTCCTTGGAGGACCTGTTGCGTGTCTCGCGACACGGCGAAGGAATCATTGATCTCAAGCGTTTCCTGAATGCTTGGGATTCCGTGATCGCCGGCATGAAAAAGCCGCCGGAAGAAAAGGTGTTGAAAGACATCTTGCTTCGCCAAGTGAGAAGCTGCCATCTGTTGCGGTACGACATCGACACATATGATCGTTGCCGTGACGATGATCCCAATAAATCGTACGATTTCCTAATGCGTTGCATGAGGGATCTAATCGAGAGGGATAGGCTTCGCGAGAACCGAGAGCGCGTGTCCAAGGTCAATGCCAGTAAAGCCCCGACGCCCAAGGCTGGTGCTGCCGCTCCTGAAAAGAGGGACCCCAAGAAAAAGAGCGCACCTAAGCCGAAGGACACCGAGGAGAAGTACTGTTTTGACTTCCAGAAGGGCTCGTGCACGAGGGGGGCAAACTGCCCTTACGCGCACCGCAAGGAGCCGCGAGGACGCTCCGCGACCCGCGGCAGGCCAAGTTCCCCCAAAGGCGGTAAAGGAGAGAAAGCACCGTGTTCTTTCTTCGCCCAAGGGAAGTGCACGAGAGGTGATAAATGCAAGTTTAGCCATGCCTCCACGGGCGGCAAATCTGCCGCCGCGGCATCGAGCAGCGAGGCCAATGCAAATCCTGCGGCTAAGAAGCGTGCAAATTCACCTAAGCCTAAGCCCAAGGCCAAAGCCGCTGCAGTCTGCACCAGGTACGCCATGTTCGCAAAGCCGATCAACCCAATTGGAGTGTCATTCGACACCAATGCTCATGTTCATGAAATCCCCGCCGAAGGCGATGGTTTCAAGCTTGAGTATGAGGAACGTCAGTACAATAGGATGTTTCCAAGTGCCAAGGACTGCCCCAGGCCGACCAAAGGGACTAACAAGGCAGCGCGCAAGGCCGCGAATCAGTTGAATGCCGTAGTCAAAGCCATGGAGAATGGAGCCCAGCCCGCTTGCGGTTTCATGTGCGATGTGGAATCTGATTCCATCTCAAGCCTATCGTGTGATGAGTGCCTGAGAGTTGCCATGCCGCCTCACGATGTTCGCAAGGATGTCGAAGCGCCAAGGGCAGCCACCCCTGCCCCAAAGGGAAAGGATGTGTGGCTCATTGATTCCGGTAGTGAGCAGGACCTCATCAGCAAGGCTGCACTGAGGAATGCGTCCAAGGCAATCCGAAAACAGGCCCCGCAGCCTATTCGCCTTGTGACTGCAAACGGAAACATCACTGCTTCCGAGATCGCCGACATCAATGTCGATGCATTGTGCGAGCCTGCTCAGCCTTACATCCTCGAGAGTTCTCCCGCAGTGCTGTCGCTGGGTGTGAAGTGTCTGGATCAAGGATAT